TTTGGTCCCGGAACATCCATTCTTTTTAATATTAAAAGAAAAAAAAATCTTCCCTTCTTCTTAAGAATTATGACCACATTAATCATATAGTTCATACTAGCTCAAATATATAAGAATATTTGTTTCCTATAGTGCTTTGGGCTTAGGGAATTGAAAAAAAAAAAAAAACAGAGGTTAGGCTAGAGAGATGGAGGGTCTTTAAAAAAGAAAGTCACTACTGCTACTCATTGTCATTGAGCTACTGCTGAAGAAGTGATAAACTGATAGTGATTATATTTTTTAAAAATATATATATGCTAGTAATACACTAATACTCATACTAGTGCAAGGCTAATACAGCATTCAATGATTTATTTCCCAATGGCCAATAATATTGGAATTCCACTTGAGAGGTTAAGACACGATTCAGACCCTCTCAATGATTGTTTTTTTTTTTTTTTTTTCTTAATTTGTTTATTACCATCATAATTGTTTTTTGAAAAGGTCCACACCAAGATCCATAATCTCTTCGAACCAGAAATCAAAGCATGTTTTAATTTTATTTTTTCCACCGATGTTTAAATGCAGAGCCTGTCCAATTCTCCTTTTGAGATGATCAGATAGTATGTCGGATTAACTACTGAAATCGGATGAAAATATAAATTTTATCATTATCAGTTTAACAATGATGGAGCGGAATAATAATATATGGGGTGTTCCCAATTTCACCATAATCTTTACAGATTTACTCACATCAGTTTATATGTATTATTCATGTATATACGGTATGTAAGTTTGGAATCAATCAAATTTGATTTAAGAAACCAGGCTAATGATTTAGAGCATCATAAGTTTTTATTTGTAATTTCTGTTAGCTCACTCTACTAAATTATGTTGTAATTTCATATACATATACCGTTCCAAAGATTCATGAAAAAAAAAAGTGGTTATATTACCTTAACGTTAAACCATGAAACTAAAGAGTTCGATCTTATGTTTTAGTCAGTGATGATTAATATCTACAAATTTATGAATTATGCATAGAGGCTAGAGCTTTCTTTGTATAAAATTGCCTGCTTTTGTTTAACACAGAGATTTGAATGGGCCCGATTTGATTGTTTTATTGAAAATTGCAATGTATATGGATGATGTATGATCATTGCAACGTTTATCGATAACACTTTTTCCTAATTGTGCATATAGATATATGAGTAATGGCCGGTGGTAAAAAACAAATATATAAAATAAGTATAAATTTAAATTTCATTATAGAGAGACAAATGAAAATAATTTTTGATTAGTTGCTGATTTGACGATTTTCGGGGGTATGTTTGAAATTTAGGCTTTATCAATCATCCCTACAAATCCAAAGGGATCTTTGTTAAATGATTATAAAATGTTGATTATTCATTAGCATGCTTGATTTGGAATTGGTGTATCCTCTATTAGACAACACGCGGACAATATTCTGTTTTGACTTCAACTGTTGTTTTCACTTTGTGAAATCTTTTGTACTTTAGATTGCTCGTAATTATTGGGGACTACAAATTTATAATTATACTTTTCTTCCTTATTAAAGAGTGAAGATGAGACTTAATTTTCTCCTAAAGACAAAAAAAGTGAAACTTTTGATGAATGTGTAGAGTGAAAAAAATAGCGGAATCAAAACGTTCACTCATCTATCACCTATTTATTTACATCTGCATGGGCTTGGGTCTAGTGTCCCACTCTTGAAAACATGATGGGCCTAATGGGCCACCGAATATGAATTCGCCACGAGACGCAGAGAACAACACGTGACGTCAAAGCATCGGGATTAGAGAAGAAGCGATTCCAGCAAAACTCGAGACTCATTTTTGGACAGTCTATGGCCACCGATCTCTTTCCGGTTACAACTTCGCCGCTTCTCAGTCGCTTCTTCCATTTTCGTATCGTATCGGAGACTATTCATCTTTCCTGGAATCGGGTGAGTTCGATAATCTTGAGCAAGAATGTTTTGCTTGTTCCGTTAAATTTAAGCTAACTCTAATTTTTGTTGTTCTGGTTAGATGATAAGTTCATCATGTTAAACTAAAATCTCTAGAAGTTTGATTGTAGATTCTATTGGCCGCCTCTTAATTCTGAATAATTGAATTCAACCATGTGTGTATCTGTGGAAGTGTGGAACTATCCAATTGTTCTCTTTTATCTTAAGTTGGCTGATTCTGAGCGAAGAAGAGTATTTCGGAGTAATAGTGAGAAGTTCACACAAATTTCCCAAGATATGTAACCATTTGTGTGTATCTATGTGCAAGCTTTTAATTTTGAGGGATTTGATATCCAGAGTTTATCTGCTCTTATCTGATGTATTTGAGTAAGTTTTGTGTGTAATATGTTTGTGGATACTGGAATGTATAAAATACGTGTTTTCATAAACACTTATTGTAATATCTATTAGACGTTTGTCTTGGTGAAATAGGTTTTTGTTTTGAACCGTTGAAGCGATGGGGGATGTGATTGATTTGAGTGGAGATGGTGGCGTCTTGAAAGAGATTGTGAGGAGAGCCAAACCTGATGCTATATCACCCTCCGATGATTTTCCTGTTGTCGATGGTATTGTTTCCAAGAATTAGTAGTGGTTTGTGTGAGATTTTAGTCTTCATATGTTGATGAAGGACCATACTTATATTTGATGATCTTTAGTTCACTATGAGGGTATATTGGCTGAGGATGAGAAAGTCTTCGACACTACACGCGAAGACAATCTGGTTTTCTCCTTTGAGTTAGGATCAGGCAGTGTTATCCGGTCATGGGACATTGCACTTAAAACAATGAAGGTTCTCTAGTTTCACTCTTTTTCTTCCATTTTGTCAATATGAGCTACTCAGTTGTAGGAAAACTAATTGGCCAATCTTTTTTTTCAGGTTGGAGAAGTTGCAAAGATCACATGTAAGCCAGAATATGCTTACGGAAGTGCAGGATCTCCTCCTGACATCCCACCTGAGTATGTTATGTTCCACTTCTTGCATCTCATTCACCAAGATCAGAGAAGTTCCTGTTTTGAGTAGCACCCATTTTATTTTGGTTATTGATATGTTTGATAATTGCAGTGCAACTTTGATTTTCGAAGTGGAATTGGTTGCTTGTAGACCGAGGAAAGGTGCCAGTGTTGGAAGTGCTTCTGAGGACAGAGCCAGGCTAGAGTAAGCATTATAACACCATTTTGGATCTCACTAACTTTTGATCTCTTCTCCACAGGCGTATATAAAAACCCTTTTGCTTATGATTATGGTTATCGTTGCAGAGATCTGAAGAAGCAGAGAGAGATTGCTGCAGCTGCCAAAGAGGATGATAAGAAAAAGAGAGAAGAAGCAAAAGCTGCTGCAGCTGCTAGGATTCAAGCTAAGCTAGACGCTAAGAAAGGTCAAGGCAAAGGAAAAGGCAAAGGCAAGTCTAAATAAGTCACAAAGGAAGAGACCAAAGTGTAAAACTCTTATATACTATTTCATGATTTAGCTGGACTCTAGTCAAACGGTTAAAACTCATCATCATTATCAACCAACATGATCTGTTTGGGGTCTAATTCTGCTAATTTCAATTCAGACACACATTAATAACATAACAAGTGTCAGAAAACCAAACTTTCAAACCATGTCGGAAGTATCACTAGTAAGATAGGCGTTGGTGAGACATAGCATGAACTCATGAGATAAAGATACGATTGTATATCACTCAGTGCATTGTGGTAATCATCACTCAATGCATTGTTACCACGTAGTTCAGAGAATTGGTCCACCCAATCCCAGTGTAAGGATTTTAGGTAGATTTTAGTGGTAGACTGTAGTCATCGTCATAGAAAATAGAGAGTAGTTCAGATTTTGACACTTATAATTTAGTTTTACCAATTTGATAAAATAATTAAAGAGACCCTTGATTAAAATTTTATTTTTTTTAATATCGATTCAAAAAAGAAAAAATATTATTGAAAAACAGAAATGTAATATAATCAAATAAATATATGAGAATTAATTCAGCTTAATATTTTTGTTAAATAAAACAAACACATACAAGGATAACTAAATTATTTACTTTGTTATATTCGTAGCACAATATTTACTAATTAATAAACAAAATTAAAAAACCTCAGAGTAGAAGATCCATGTACTAATTTTTTGGGCGACTATTGGAGGAGCGATCGTGTTTGGGCAGATTGGATTAGACATAGACATGAGCATGGACAAGACTTCTTTTCACCCATCTGTTTTGAAATCAGTGGCTTATTTGCTATTTATTAAGGTGGATTCATGTGCTCGAAGATAACACACAAATCAAAAGATCATTGAATATCTCAGTCGTTTTGCAGGAGTTTTCAGTATCATTTTTTTCTTGCGATTAATTTCGGTAGAATTCATCATCTGGATTATTATTAGGATTGTTTGTTTTCTTCACCCTTGAATTTTTGATGATGTTGAGGTTCCTTTGCAAGAAATGGAGGACTTCTCCTTACCATAAGATCTCGCCGACCAAATCAAGATCTTCACTCTTGCATTAGCTTTCTTTCATCGCCGAATTCATTTAAGTTTTAGATGTATGAATAAATCTAATTGATAATTTTTTTTGTTATTTTCTTTTTTTAAATAACCTGCACACTTGTTGAATATTTAGGTTTATATTGTTTTGTATATTAAATGAAAATTCCTTGTTTGATATGAAATAATACAAAAAATTAACTGAAATTGAATTGTTTTCAATGTTAGTGATCCTGAAAATCACGTGTTTTTTTGTATTAAATTTTCCTTGTTTGATATGAAAATAATACAAAAAATTAACTGAACTTGAATTGTTTTCAATGTCAGTGATCCTGAAAATCACGTGTTTCTTTTTGTACTAAATTGGAAAGTGGGTAATAATTAGGTCTAACCAGGTAACAAAAATAAATTAGGCTCACATTTGAATTTTTTGATATATGTAAAAAGGTCGTTTTAGGATATTTCTCAATCGACGACAAAAAAAAAAGAGGATATTTCTCAATATAAGCTCTCACGTGCCGACTCATTAGAATTCTTTGATTTTCAAAATCAAAGTGGCACTGCATATAACAACTCATCATCATCATCAACCATTACATGATCTGTTTGAGGTCTAATTCTGCTGATTTCGATTCTCACACACATTAATAATATAACAAGTGTCGAAAACCGAACTTTCAAACCATGTCGGAAGCATCATCATCAATCCCATCTTGTTCTTGCCATCCTGAATGAGCTCTGAATTTACAGACAGGACATGTTCCTTGCTGTCTAAGCCATGGGTCGATACAGACTGCATGAAACTGAGAAATTGAACATATGCATGAGTCGTGAGAGACTATAAAATGCATAAGAGGATTTTGTTTTGTTTTAGATAAGAGTAAATATGAATACCTGATGCAAGCAAGGTAAAGTGCGAACAACTTCCCCTACGGTAACTTGTTCTAGGCAAACACTACAAGTGAGCTCGTCGTCTGTTCCTTTCTTACTTCCATTGCCAGCATCTTGCTTCTTCTGCTTTGAACAAGAGGAAAACACCATGAAAAATAAGAGATTGTATTAGCCACTTAACAAGAAGTTTTTATCTGAGTATTGACCAACTCTAATGTAAAATTTGTACGTCAGGTATTGTTGGGGAAATTAAAAATATGTAATACCTCTGCTGAGGATGAGGTTGATGCCTGCTTTGCCAAAGAGCCACCACTATTAACAAAAGCAACACAAGCCGAAAACCATGAATATCAGATTCATTCACAATAATCAGGTAAATATGATCCAATATAAAAAAAACCATTAAGGCCTTGAGCTAACTAGAACGGAGGAAGTTGGCAAAAAACGAGGGTTAATTAAGAGATCGATTGTAGAATTATTGGCCTAAATGATTAATCAGTGAAGCGATGGGAAAACCAAAACCCATGAATGTAACGATTCTATTGATAACAAAGCTTTAGTAACTTAATAGACAGGATACTGGAATAAACCAATATCCATTTTATTCATCTTCATTCCCCCCCCCCCTATTTATTTACAGTAAAGTAAACAGTAAAAAATAAGCACAAAGTTATCATTTTCTAAACTATAAAATTGTGACCCTTACCACGCTCCCTTCCCATGTTCAGGAAGTACTATAAGAGTTCCTGCTATGCCACAGCATCCTAACTTAACTATTTTTCTTATTTCTCAAAATTCCAACTTTTGAGAACTTATAAAAGAGAGACAAGGGATACAAAATTTACTTACTTTTCAGGATCCAACACCTTATACTTATGTACTGGGAGTGCATTTATCTCTTCCTCGTTCATAGAATTTGTGGGAACATTATCGGAATCAAGTGCCCTTAATGTTTCATAATCTGCAAGAGAACAACTTTTCCCTCAGAGTTCAAAAATAAAGAGCAGACTAGCAAACCGGAAGAAGAAAAAACGAAATAGGGATGATAATGGCATATCAAATCCTAAACTTTAATAATAAATTGTATTTTAACTGACCTAAGTCATCAAACTCTCGATCAAGAAGAGCCAGTTGGAGCCTAAGTCCTTGAAGACGCCCTCTCGTTGCAAGAGCAATGGAAGGAGGCACATGCAACCTGAGCTCAGTATGGCTGAAGAGGTCACTAGCTGCGGCAGCATGAGCCTGAGCCTGAGCTTGAAGTTGTTGGCAAGTCGCATACATCCTAAGGGTCGTTGCCATCAAAAACACCCCAAGCACAAGCCAGAGCTACAAATTCGTGAAACATCAAACTCATACCCAAAACATGACAAACTAAGAAAGAAAAAAACGGCTTCTAGTGTATATGACATACCAGGAAATTAGGAGGCATCTGATGCGAGTTGAGAATCATAAACAGCAAAAGAACTGCAATACACAAAACAAAAGATTAATTCATCAAAACTGCAGCCAAAACAAAAAAAAAAGATGATTGCAGAAAGAACTAAAAGGGGATGTTAAATTACCGGTAACCAGAAAAGCGAGGGAATTAGAATTCACTGGTCGAGCTCCATGAACACGCTGCAGTGTTTGGCGATACCAAAAGACATTTTCCATTAGTATAACTCTTAGCAAGAAAAATCATTGTAATGCAAAGTTAATGTTCCTGCATTAGAGAATTTCTCAAGAGGAAGCATACCATAGCTCGTCTCTCGGGCATAAATCCTGAGAATCCGCTTTCTAAATCTCCTCTACTTCCCCGGAAAACAAAACTCATCTTTTACCAAATGCAAAAGAGCCTGCAAAAAAAAAAAATTTGTGCTCTTACAATTGTTATATTGGCCATGCAATACAAAGGCAGACACCAAATTGTCAGTGAATCTATTCAGTTCCATCAAATCAATTCAAAAACCCTAACTAAATGCGAATTCGAGAAACATGTCGATCACAGCAACAGAGGAGAGGAATTAAGATTTATGATATCACGAATCTTTCAAAAAAATGTCCAAGGAACTAAAAATGGGCGTAAAACGAGAGAGTTCTTCGATCAAATAATCGACGGAAACGAATGGAACGAGAGATCGGAGGAGAATATCACCTGGAGGTGGAGAATCTACAGGATCGGTTTTACTCTGGTGATGAAAGATTGAAAGGTAACATCCGCGAGCGAAGATGGAGTGACAAAATCGCCGTTGGACCGAGTCGACTCGGGACGAGTTATCGCTCGCTTTTTTTTTTTCCGCGGAAAGCCAAACGCTTTCCTTGGGGGATTTTTGTCCGAATCCCGACCCTGACGATCTTAGTTTTTGTCTTCATCCACCATATATGTTTCAACTTTCAAGTGATGAACTACCTTAAACGTCGCCGTTTTACGTCGCCACTTGTCTGTTTTTTCATTCTTTTATGTAAATTGGTTCCTACCTTTTTCAACTCGTGTCATGTCACCTATGATATATTCATTTATAAATTTACAAATTTAGGTGAAATTTGTATATAAGAAAGATTCGATTGAGGAGACAAAAAGAACTTCCATTAGTGATCAGTCACCAAGTAAAAAATCAATAGAATTGAAGAGAAAAATTCCGAATAAACCTGTTTTTGAATTTAATCTTTAAAATAGTATTGTTACAGACTTGCATTGTCTAATTTGTTAGGGGGTAAATGATTGAATATTCATTGGTAAAATTTGCTACAAATTTTGTTGGTTACCCTCAGAAATTTTATTATTACACAACAATGTATATGGATAATAGTCAAGACTCAAGTTTTTGCTTTTGAGTCATACGGACCAAGTAATAATCAACCACAATATTGTTCTGAGCTTTTTTTTTGTAGTTGATTAACAATTAACTCATAACAATAATATTATATGAAATAACATTATTTTAAACAGTGTGTCCATATAGACCAGACGATCCAAGAAGTTGACTCGCTTGACTACATTTGACGTCATTAGCAAATCCAACTTTTCTCTGTGCGAGATCGTACTCCATCCACACGTTTTGCTGATGATGATTCCCAATTATAAACATTTCGATGCCCTCGAGTTCCGAGTTACCGAATGTGAAGCAATACTTCTGCTCGGGTCCTGACCCGGGTACCGGGTACAACAGCTTTTGACCCGACACGGTTAGCTCTGCGCCTGCGAACATCAGACTCACCGTAGGCAGTTTCGAAAAATCAGGTTTAGTTGACCCGACCCGGAAACAGAGATCCAATGCGGTTTGGTAAACGAAACTCGGGTCAACAGTGAGAATAGATTTGGTTTGTTGGGTAAACTCGGTTTTCAGGATGTTGTAAACCGGAGCTAGCAGGAACGTGAACTGTGTACCGGAATCAAAGATTGTCTGACCCGCTCCGGAATGATCCGGAACAAAGTTGGAGTTAGGAATGGGTAGCAATTTAGACCCGACCCGAATTCCTTGGAATTGGACCGTGTACGCGAACCGGTCCCAATAAGGTAACCGATCCATTTTGGTTACCAAAGGCGTGTATTTGAGAGGTGGAAGCGATGGGTAACTCGCGTCACCGAGAACCAAAACACCGGTAGAGTCAGAACCGGAGATACAATAAGAGAATTTAGATAAACCCATCTGGTTAACAAACGATAACCGACCCCGGTTCATTCCCATTAACCCGGTGGTTTTACCATCTTCCTCTGGTGTTGTGCTGGAACTCAGGTCCATGCACCCGAATGACGTGGCGGGTCTGGTCAACGACCCGATTCGAAACGTCTCTTGAGCGAGGTTCCCATCCATGGAGGAACCATCAACGTAGGAGACAGCCACGTGGCAGAGATTAGACTTGTGGTCACACGTGGCAGGATTGGTTAAGTCTTGGGTTTGGGTGGTGCAAACGGGTGATGAACATGGTAGAGAAGTGTAAGAAGAGGATTTTGCGTGGTTGAAAATGGAGGTGTGGGCTGAGAATCGTTTGCAATGGAGCCACGAGAGCTCGCTTCCGGTGTCGAGAACCATGGTGATGGTCTGTGGAGGAGAACCGGCGGTTAGAGAGGCGGTGAGTGTGACACCGTGAGTGAAAAGGATCTTGAAGGATGGAGAAGAACGACGTCGTTGCAGGAGTATTGTTGAAGAAGAGTTATGGATGTTTTGGGTTGTGAGAGGGAGGATGAGTAGTGTTTGGTTTGTTGGGAAGATTCTTGAGATGGCGAGAGGGGAAATTATTAGAAGCCAAAATGTGATTTGGAGATGAATCGATGATGAAGACATCTTTGTTTATTGTTTATCTCTTCAAATCCTAATTGTTATCAGTTCATGCATCCTTATATATATATATGTGTGTTTAAGTGAATTTCTTGCAATTAAGGAAATGAAATGACGAGGGTGGAAATGCATTAAAAACGGGTGAGGAAAATAAAACCAATAACTAAATCTTGGTAACGCTTAGAATCAAGGAACCAGATACGTGAAGGAAACCAGAAAAAGATTGTTTGAATTTTAGTTAATAGATTACCAATCAAAGTTTGCAAAGAAGAAGTTAGTCTAAGAAATCAATTAATATATACACATTGCCAAGACGTTGAGTTTGTCATTAAATTTAGTCAAGGTACCAACCTAGGTATTAAATTCTGGCATTCCGTTAAGGTATATGAGGTCAAAGTTTAGTTTATTTTAAGAGTTAAGCTTTTAGTTATAATTCAGATTGACAAAGATCTATCGTTTTGAAACAAAAGAATATTTGGTTATATGATAATGTTGTATATAGGAATATTGTTGGGGATAAATTTTATATAAATAGTTTTTAAATTGTATCTAAGACATCAGTCAAACGAAAACTCGCCTTCCATATCAAACTAAGCGAACTAGGAGCTTGAGATGGAATGAGCAAACTAAACAAAATTTGCTAATCACTGTACTAATTTATATTAGCTTATTATATTTATAATGCGGGGTTTAATATTGCTGAGGATAACATGATGTTCTTCATAAGCAAATACCTAATGTTCGACACAGGATGGACTCGACCAACACAAAACCTTGAGCAACAACTTGAACGGGTTTAACTGAAAACAATCATAATAATTAATGAAAATACTACACATTTGAGCATACATCTTACATTTTTCACTGTGAAGTGAATTTACTTAAACTGTAACCATAATACGGTTTTAAAGAACCTGAATCAAAATCCGTCATCTCCCATCAGTTTTAGTTTTACCGGCGAATGAGAATATCGACGATGTAGTAGTACTCTCGTTTGGTCCACTATAAAACGTAGCTGAATCCACAAAATCCTCAAACTCGCCAGCATTACCACTTCCATCATCAAGACACATACTATCATTTACGTCTAAGAAATCCGGCGCAGGAACAACTTCCGGCGACGGAAACTGCTTTTCAAGATACATAACCACTTGTCTCATTGAAGGTCGAACCTCCGGCGAATTGTTCGAACAGAGAAGCCCTAATTTGATAACCATAACAACTTCCTCTTCATCAAACTCACCGTTCAGTCTCCTGTCCACAACATCTCTAATGTCTCCGCTTTGCCACCTTGACCAAACCCAATCAACCATTACAAGCTCTTCAGGTAATGCATTTGTCTCGATCGGTCTTCTTCCGCAAGCTACTTCCAACAAAAGCGCCCCAAACGCGTAAACATCTGTGCTTGTTGTCAACTTTCCGGATTTAGTAAGTTCTGGTGCTAAGTAACCAAATGTACCAACTACTCTTGTAGCTCCAGGGTTTGATCCGTGCTCATATAACTTAGCAAGACCGAAATCTCCTACCCGCCCGTTCATTTCACCGTCTAACAAAACGTTTGCTGCTTTAATATCACGGTGAATAACGGTTTGTTCCCATCCTTCGTGTAGGTAGAGTAACCCTGAAGCAACCCCTTTAATGATGTTGAATCTTTGCTTCCAAGTCAAGATAACTTTAGGTTTTTCGTCGAACAAGTACATGTCTAAGCTTCCATTAGGCATGAAATCATAGACCAGAAGCAAATCCTCTCGTCTTCGACACCAACCGAGCAACTGAACAAGATTCCTATGCCGGAGATGACCAATGCTCGAGACCTCAGACATGAATTCTCGTACACCTTGTCTTGACTCGTGAGAGATTCTCTTGACGGCTACAAACTCGTCTGAATCCGGAAGCTTTCCTTTGTATACTTTCCCAAATCCTCCAGACCCTAGAAGCTCCTTGTCTCCGAAACCATTCGTAGCTTTCTTCAGTTCTTGATAAGAGAATCTATGTGGACCAAAATCTAGCTCCCATTCTTCAACTCTGTCTTCATCTTTCGCCTTTTTTAAACCAAACATCACTGCAACGACAATAACTGCGATGATCAAAAGGGAACACGATAGAGATACTCCGAGGATCAAACCAAGGCTCTTATTCTTCTTCTTGATTGAACGTGGGATCCGAGGGAGAGATGGCAAAGACAGAGACAAAGCTTCTCCACTCATGTTAAAGTTCCAACCTAAGATGTAATGAGAACTAGCTAGCAAACCGGTCGAAGCAGAGAATCCAACATACATCTCATCTCCAAAAACAGAGGACAGGTCTACGTCGTAAGAGAGAAGAGACAACTTTGGTTTCTCGGAGAATGGAGAAAGCTTAACATCTAACCTTTTCTTGTATGAATCATAATCAACCCAAGCTTGAATCACTCTACCACTGTCGAGGAAAAGCTCCTTTCTTGTTGAGTTTGCGAGAAAATAGCCAGCAGGAGTCGAAGCACTCGATTCCATGCTGTTTATATTGATACCAACATGGTTATCATTGATGTCCTCAAACTCCAAATCTTTGACAGTATCGAACTCCACAGCGAAGAAGTGGCTCGAGAAGTTTACTCGGCTCGAGTTCAAAAGGCCCATGTACTGGCTAGGAAGAGAACCTGCGAGATCTGGCGTTGGCGTGATGGCGAAGGCAAGTCCGTGGCCTCCAAGCGTCACGTACTCTGGAACCATGGCGATTACAAAAGAGGTGGAGAAAGACAGACAACGGTTTTGACCGGTTTGTTTGCACCGGATTGGTAAGGAGTAGAAGGCGTGACCGAACACGCGACTTGTGTCTGTAGTGAGCCTGATGGCTCCTGTGTCGGCGATCTCTGCACCTCCGGACATGATTAGATTTAGAGAGGCTTTCTTGAACCCAACGAAGGAGAAGTCATGAGTTAGAGATGAAACCAAGTTTGTGAAGAAGATGAGTAGTAGCCATATGTAGACAAAGGTCTCCATCAACAATGTTTTTTTTTGTTTGAAAGGTTTAGATTCTCTGTAAGTTGTTTCCTTGGGAGATAAGTAAACAAGATAATGAGTTGTTATGGTTATTAGTTCTAACATACGATCTATTAGGAAGAGGTAAGAAGATGGTGAATATTATGATAGCATGTGATGCTGAGAATGATGTTGGTGATACAGGAACATGTGATTATTTCTAGATAGATTACAGTATCACATATTCAATTTTTAAACAGCAAACTGAACTTGCTTTAAATACGATTATACGAGGTTAATTAGTACTATTTGATACTATATCGATGTTGGTAATATCAGTCGAGATCGTCGGTATTGACTAGTTTAATCGTTGAGCAAGTACGTATGTATTTTGTAATCTACGATTCACGACTTTGGACTTGTGAATTTTATTTCTTATGCATACATATATGGCATCAACAAATTTTTATTTTTTTGGTCGAAACAATTAGTTTCCGAATATGTGGGAATATGTAAACTAAGTCCAAGTGTCGGAGTTTTTCCATATATTTGTTTTTTAATAACCAGGGTATATTGTTAATCCAAATAATTCGGATGTTTATAAAAAGTTGGATATTCTTGCTATTTAAGATGTCCATAATCAGTGCCGTGCTTAGCTTTATGGAGGTTAAGGCAAATCATAAAATGTGTTTTTTTTATATATTTAAATATGTATTTCTATTTATAGTTTATTTTATGTTAATATTATTATAATTTCTTAAAACAAAATGAAATTTTAAACATCAAAATACCTTTATTGTTGTTGTAGGTCTCAAACATTTATATATAACTATATAATGTTCTTCTACTATATATAACAAACAAAATCATGTATTTTACATATTTGGTTAACGTTATAAGAAAATGTGACCTTTAAAACTAGAACAAATTTTGGTGGCCTAAAGCAAATGCCTTTTTTGAATACAAGGCACGGCTCTGTCCATAATGACCAAGAAAGAATTTCAATAATTTTTGTAGATACATGAAATTTGATCTTTAATCTTGATTCATCTGATCTCACCGTTCGTGCTACTGAGGCACACACACTTCGTTGAAAACTTCTAACGCTATTAAAATGACACTAGTCTAGATAAAGAACAGTTTTTTATTTTCTTATGGAGACAACAATATTACTAACATTGGTAATTGATCGGCTCTGTTTTACTAGAGGATATCGGGGGTCGATGTTTCATGATTTAATAACTACTACTACTTTAAGGTTTAAATGATATTTTTTACCACTAACCACAATTTTATTAATTAAGTCGGAGTAAATATATAACTGAAAACAACTAAAAATCACAATCAACACTTAGTCCCTTTTTTTTAATAACAGTATCTATGTGAGAAATATATATTCTTAGAGAAACAAAGGCAAATGCAACAAAACAAAAAAGTACTATCAATACACGAATTTGTCGGGTAACTCCAAAGTATACACCTTTAGCAGAAAAAAAAAAAAAAAAAAACCCGCCGAAGTATACAGCCAGGACAGCCTGGACAGTTCTTCGGTAACGTGGTTTCAAGTTTCGGCACCAGTGACGATGTCTTGGGCAAAGGCACTAAACTAATACCAACAAAATAACTTTATATAGTTTCACCATTCGATAAATTTCGTAGAAAAACTAAATATGCTAAAGTATTATGACACGAGTTTTCATATATAATGAATTGTGTAAACGTTCCGCTTGACATTGAAAATTTTGAAATGCATGCACTTTGATTATATATATGAAATACGAAAATAGTCTTGGATATGAAACAAAAAGTCAATAAATCAAATTATAAAGCTATTGAAAGAAGAATGGGATAAGTCTAAGTTCAGGTGAGACTAACGGCTAATAAGTTAAAGTCGTTCAAAACAAAAGAAATGGTTGTTGAAAAAGAGAGCGTTTAAAAGTTAAAATAGCTAAAGAAAATAGAAAATGATATTGATTATAGTGATTACTAAAATGGTTAGATAAATAGTGGGATGATGGAATAACGGAATAATAAAATAACAAAGGTATAGGAACAGAATAAAATCAATGATTAATAATCATGAAATGCCTATTGATAGCTTTGATATCCTCATTATATTTCAAGAGTGCATCATGCCATCATCTATACATAGCAAATCATTTGAAAAACGTGAGTCTTAATTCATTTGGTTACAGGTAAGAAAATAGCAGAATCAAGCTTTTGAAAAGAGAAGCGTAAATAAATAGTTGTTTGGAAAAGGAATATTGATGACGGAGGATTGTTTCGGTCTAGATTGGCTCAGTTATTTTGGAACTGAAGCCGAACAAATAAACCCCAATTAACAATATTTTTTCTAACCAAACCAAAACAAACAAAACAGTTGGTTCCTCTTCTTTACATGTTTCTTTAAATTCGAAAAATAAAAACTGGGCCAAATGAACTAGATATCCACTCCTTTTAGCACCTTAAGAGCAGTGTGTTTTCCTTTAAACGAAAATTTAGAAACATTGAACCTTAATCTTTTTAAAGTGCGTGCTACCAGAGAACTTTAAACTAATATGTGCTAATGTGAGATGATAGATTCGATCCGGTCGGTATCTCTGGCTCACCCTTTAGAATAGCGAGTTTTCACATTTGCATGTTAATATATTATGCTTTTTATACACCAACAAAATATTTCAAAATGAACTTGCAATCGCAAAACACAAATAAACAATTAATATATTATAAACCTTGGCAACAATTTTCCCACAAAAATTACGTAGATGGCTAAATCGTTAACCCACAGAAATAAAAATAAATCATCCCAAGGAGTTAAAAAACGTTATCATTTTGTACTCAACCGTTGAAATACAAAAATACGGAGTTAAGTTATGATGGGACCAAATCGTCCGTACTTCTATTTTGATTTGCTTGTATTGCAAGTGTAACACAAAAGGAGGAATTTGTAAGACCAAAGACTGTGGAAAATATCCAAAAAAGTACCATATTTAAGGAAACCATAACAACACCCTTTTTTGGCAATAAAACGTTGGGACCAAAACCAAAAACCAATGAAATCACCTTTTTTGAAGTTCCTCAGCTACCAAACAACTCTCACTAGAAGAGTTAACAATAAACACTTGTATGTGAGAACATATCACTATTAAGCACATAAGACCTCACTAACCCTAATCGCCGCGGAGCTAGAATCCTATTCTGTATGCTCTTATGTCGATAGAATTAAAGATTCAAAATGTAGCAAATGCAAACTCCTTAAATCGCTACATATAACCATGGTTATCTACTTGCAAGTAAGCCATGCCCTTGATAACTAGTATTTACCACATCACAAGCTCGAGAAGAATAAAGTAATAGAGCGAATACCTGAACCAAACTAACCGGCCTCAACAAGTAAGAGTTTGAAGTGCAAAAATCTAAGAAATGAACTAAACAATGCTTTAAACAATTAAGATGCCTTGAGAAACAAAGAAAGCTCAATGAGAATCACACTTACCAACATTAAGAAAGGAACGAGTCATAAATGCTTTCAATGTAAGAAGCCACACACCATTTCTCTTCAAGACATTGCTCCAGTTTTTTCCACTTCTTAAAGAAAGAAGAAGAACATCAAAACTCAAAAAGGCAATTCTACAATCAGTTTGTCTTCATCAAAAGCTATCCGCGATCAAAATAATCAGTCAGAAAAACCAGTAATCACCGCCACAAAACAAACAAACAAACAAACACTAGCTAAATGTCACAAGATTAATCCGCACAAAAAAAAAGAAGAAAACTTTGAGAGAGCTTAACAAACAAAAGCCTAACCATCCTAAATGATTTCAACAGATGGGAAAATGTAAATCATTCCTGCTAAAAGAAACCCTTGCAAACCACCCGCCTATCTAATTTATCAATACGAAGGAGGAGCACGAGGCGGAGGAGCACCCCAAAACACATCATGTTGAGCCATTTGATGACCATTTGGCATAAAATTAGGAGGCATATTATACATCTGCTGCTGCTGCTGCATAGACCCTTCATTCCGATCATTCCCACTCTCATTATCATCATTTTCCTTCTCCTTCTTAGCTTCTTCCTGTTGCGGTTGTAGCTGCTCTTGTTGTTGCTCATCTTCAATCGGTAACCTCTCGTAAGTAGCATTGCAAAACGTAGCAGCAATCACAATAACCGGTCCAGATGCAATAAGCGGTCCCGCGACTCCACCTCCCACGACTTGACCTTGAGCTCCAGCCAAGTAAATGGTTAAACCAGCAGCTGCAGCAGGAGAACCAGAGGTTGGAAGAAACGCACCACACATAGACAAGATCTCAAACTGACCACGTAAGCTCACAACTCCTCCAGAGGCAGCAGGCTGACGCAGAGTGACATTAGTGACCAAACCGTTACCGCTCAGAACCGAAACGCCTCTGCCGCGTCTACGAGCAAAGGCGTTTAAGCTTTCCGCCACGTCAGCTCCGGTTGCGATCTCGAGGACATGGCTTTGCAGCGAGTTGGGGCTTTCTTTGGTGACAACCACCGGATTCTTTGGTTTGTTCTTGGAACCAGGAGGTCTTCCTCTTGGACGTCGACCCGTAGACCCGGATCCGGAACCGGGTTCGACGGCGGGTAGCTCGTCACGGCTGTTCTGTTCTTCTTGGCTGTTCTGAGTCTGAGTAATAGGGCTTCCACTGTTGTTGGTGAAGTCATGGTCCAATCTTGGATCCGACCGGGTCATAGTCGGGTTGTTGTTTCTGTGATGCAAAGACGGAGCTGATGACGTCACTGGACTCTCAACTCCTCCGATCGCAGCATTCCCTACCCACCAAGGATTCGCCATTGATTTTACTTTTTTCTTTTTTTTTTTTGTGCTCTCTAGTGAAAATAAAGTAAAAATGAAACCTTTTTTTTCTTTTTTGTTGTTGCGGCTCTCCGACAAGAAACTATTACAAGGGTGAAGAGAGAATCCGAAAACCTTATCCTAAACTTTAGATTGCATCTTTTGTAACCAAATCCAAACCAACATGTTGCATGAAGCAGACACAGAAGACATGGGACATCATTTTGTTCTCTATATCATATACCTGAAGAAGAAAAAAAAAGGACAAAAGAAAAGAATCAGATCTAGAACAAGAAGAAAACCCGAAAGAAAAAAAACCCAAAAAGCTATCAGCAAATATCAAAAAACTCAGAAACCCCAACCAGAAAAAATCTTAACTTTATTTTCCAATCGAATAAAAAAATCCAAACTTTATGTGATTTTGAATAAAAGGAAGTCCCTTTTTCTGTTTTTGTTTTCTTCTCTAGTAGCTAATGAGAAAAAAAGGTTAAATTAAAGGAGAAGAGAGGAGAAAAATATTCCGTACCCAAAGAGAGAGGGAGAGAGTCCAAGGGTTGTTTCAGGGAAAGATTTGTACTTTGAAAGTCGTATAAATCTCTTACCGTCTCTTTCTATTTCGTACTTTGGCGTGTGCGTACGTTAAAAGGACCGAAGATAAAGAGGCGTACGATAAGGGGAGTGAGAGGTGGTGGATGATGATTCTTGGTGATTTGATCTTTCGTGATTACGCTCTCTGAGGCGGTTCTCTCTCTTACTCTCTCTCTATCTCTCGACCAGAGCCGTCCTTTTGGACCATTGAACTTTTAGGTGTTCGTGCAAAAGTTTGAGCGAGCTTCTCTAGACACGCCTTGTCTCTTCTTCTCTCTATCTCCTCACCACTAGGCCCTGGATTGCTTTTCTTTTGTGGACCCATTCCTCATATTACTAAGTTACCCCTGACCTCAATTGTCAATTTTCATATCCATATTTGGTAATAAGTTTTCTGGTTTGATTGTGGAAAAAATCAGGCTAGAAAACGAGAAGAAAAAAGTTGACTTGAGCTTGAATTATCGTATATCTTTACGACTTTTTAAAAAAAAATTGTTTATTCACATTTTCGTTTCCCATCTAAGTATCTAACAGGTAGGCAAACACACTTTGATATTAGTTCTGTTACAAAAATTACTGAAAACAGAAATATCGCTAAACTATTTCCTTTTTAAAAGTTTGATCATCAGTTTAGAAGTTAGAAGTTTAGAACTAAGTTTCCGTCAGGTCTATTTTATACGTTTCAAATAGATATCTATATGTAATATACATAATAATAAGAACCGTCTTTAGGTACCGTATGTGCGAAAATTGCATTTGCAACAACTTTAATATATTAACAAAAAAGGCTAGTGTGTTCAAGGACTATAAATATATCTAAAAACAAATTTTACATATGATTAAGATCCTTATCACATATATTGCATAGTTTCTTAGTACTTTGGATAACATTTGAAAAATTGGTACAGTCTGTATCTATTATATCATTATGTAATTTCATGTAATAAATTTCGTACTAAAGCAGACTAGGAAAATCTATATTACGTTTGATATTAATTACTATGAATATTTGAAGTTTTCTGTTATAATGTAATCGCTTTATTTACGAGTTCAGTTGGTAGATGCTTTGTTGACAAAAATAAATACAGTTGGTGCCTGGTGGAAGGATCCTTGAATGTTTGCAGAATTTTACCAAGAAAAAAAAGATTATTGTTTAGTTTGTTCAAAAAACCAATTTGTTAATATGAAAGACTATTACAAAGTTTAAATGTGAAATGAGAGTATAAATAGATCGTAAGATCTAAGTAAGGTCTGATAGTTATTGGTATTTAAAACTTATATAGGTAAGTACAGTTTGGATAGAATGCAAGAGTGGGGGTGTATCATTTGACTATCTCTAATAAATGCAAAAAGGACAAAAACCATTTACCAGAAGAACAAAAAATTGTAATGGTAAAGGATTTAGAAACATTGAATTTGAGGAAGGATGACGACGACATGTTTAAAATTCATATACTCCATTCCGAAAATTCATTTCCCGCTTGAGAAATTGGAATTTTAATTCCTCGAATATTTGGTCTGACCATACATACGACCATATCCAATAATAATAGTAATAAATTAGGTCTGATGTCAACAAAACTATATAATAGTAATACCAAAATTAATGAATTTGGTCTCACTTCTTTATGAAGTGAATCAAAAGAAGGCCACCACCGGCCCCAATGGCCACTAGGATGGAACGTTACATTATATCATATATTAAATTAATACCTACCTCTCTATACGTCTATCATTTATGTAGTATTTTCTTTGTCACCGTTCGAACGCAACTTAGTGCAGATAAAAATGTCATTCTATCATTCTATGTATGGTTATTACTGAGATCTCGGAGAGATCAAGTTAAAGAAAGTTAATATTTGTGTATATTCTCTATTAACTAAATAGGTAAATTTCCATTATCAAATATGTAAAGAACTTGTTAGTCAAGTTATATCTTTGTATAAATAAGTCTATTGACTAATCAATAAATTTGAGAGAAACTGTTTATATTTCTAAAGTTTCCTCCAAACTTGTCATGGTATCAGAGACATAACCAAATTATACAAATTTTTGGTTTTGTTCGATCCTTGAACTGCTTCATATCATCTACAATTTCTTATTTACAATCACTTAAAAAATATATATATATTTAACCTTGTCTTCTATCTTATTCAATAACTTATTCTAGTTATTCAACAACTTCTTCTACTTCTATTTTATTATTCTATTTTCTTCATTCTTTCTTCTTTTAATTATTGAGTTGATTTAAAAAAAAACTTTAAAATGTTTAGGTGATTATGGCGACTATGAGCATGAACCTAATGGGTTTGTTCATATTTCATTCTCTTATTTTTATTTCAGGTCTTCATGTGGTTATTCATCAACTATAAAATCAATGTGGCCAAGAAGATGATGGCTCCAACGGATATATACTGATCCGATGGTTTAGAATTATGTATATGACATTTTTTAACTTAAGACACAAGTTTCTTCATGGACAAGAAGTTCGAAGAGTGACCCAGGCTTGTGACTTTAGTTCGGATCAACTTGATAATTTCAAGTTATTTACTTCAGTGATCCAGCGATATATGGCGTTATAGATTTTAATGATTGTCCAATCTCATATGTGTTACCACATATAAGTTTGCGGGAGGGTATTACGGAGATCTCGGAGATATCAAGTTAAAGAAAGTTAATATTTGTGTATATTCTCTATTAACTAAATAGGTAGATTTCCATTATCAAATATGTAAAGAACTTGTTAGTCAAGTTATATCTTTATATAAATAAGTCTATTGACTAATCAATAAATTTGAGAGAAACTGTTTATATTTCTAAAGTTTCCTCTAAACTTGTCAATGGTAGAGTTTTACATTAGATGTTCTATCGTATCAATGTATAAAGTATTCAATATAGATTTGTTTACCAATAATCAATTCATGAACGGGATGTCTTTTCGTTAAAACTTGGATATATTATATTGACTTTTCATTTTGATATTATTTTATGTAGGTCAAACAAGAACTTGGATATATTCTTATACCATTTTTCCAATCACTTTGGAGGAATAAAAAATATATAATTAGGAGTTGATAAATAGGTTATGGGTACAAGTAAAGAAATGTGTTTTTCTTTTAACAAAGTCAAGCTAAAAAAAAAGAAGAGTATCCTAATAATGAATATCCTAAGCAGTAATATCGCTGTTCTTTCACATTGATGTTCCAAAAAAAAAAAAAAAGTTCTATTACATTAACGTATACAATGTATGTGGCCCGATTTGTTAAAAAAAAGGTACAACATCAATTTAGAAATTATAATCTCGAATGATTATGGTTGAAGCAAGGCAAAATCAAAGTTAAAAACACTAGTTGGAACTTGTACACATGATAGAAAACGATTTTCAAACCTTAGCATGTCAAGGGTGATACATATCGTTCAAATAAATCTTAATGATACAGTACTATTAAATCAAATTGATCGTAAATACAACTTTTCTGGCATAAATATACTACCCAACACTTTTTTTTTTGACAGAACACATTTTTCTGGCATAAATACACTACGCTACAATGTATATATTACTTATCGTTATGATGTCGCTTGTATCGCTTGAACTCCCGAAATTGTTATATATATATATATATATACATATATAACTAAATTTGTAAAATTTAGAATATATTTTCATGAGTTATTTTGGCTAAATTCAAATAGTCATTGACTCTTTGTAGTTTGCGCTTCATAACTATAAAAAAACATGGTATTAACAAAATGAGAAAATATTATTTTTAATCTTAATGGACAAGAGTGATTTTTGACCATTTTGGACGATTTTACCTTTTACAGATTATTTCTTTCTGTAACTAGTTATTTTTTCTGTCAACAGGTAGTTGATCATATGGAGTTTTATATTGGTTTATGGCATATATTCTAATTTCTAAGTGTTGTATAATCAGATTTTTTCCGTATTAGACTTTTTCTATATAGGTATTAACTATTGATTTCCAAAAAGAATGCGTTAAATTCTACCATGTTTGTTAAAATTTTTAATGGTACTATTTATTGAATATAAGAATACTGTGTTATATTATTTCATATGATGAGAATTACAAAGCTATATATAGAAGAGCTACAGAATCATAGAGAGAACTCATAGAGAATAATTGTATGGAGTAATCATAGGGATCTTGATAGATATTATCCTTACTACTATTTTCATGTTTTCTAATAACAACTCTAGAAATGATCATTTACCTAAATACATCTTTATTTCTTGCCATTCACCACCTTTTTTTTTTATGAAAGAATATAAGAGAATCTCCATTTACCAAATTCACTCAATCCATATGTACTCATAATCTTTATAAATATGTTTTTTCTTCCCCTCCCCAAACAATGAACAAAGAAGATAAAACCAATGGCGAAGACAAATTTGCTTCTAGCTACAACGTTACTTTTGAGCTTCATGGTTATTGCATCTTTCGCTCGGCCAAACCCGACTCTTTACTCACAGGTCAGAATTTTATGGTAGAATATAAAATATCTTATACTAGTATTTTATATCTGACATGGTCGAACATATCATATAAGTATTTTAGCTTTTGGGGTTTAATCATTGAACACAGGTGAGTCTTCATAACAATATATATAACTTAATGAAAGTAAAATAAAACAAATATGTGTACGTTCATTCCGCAGATTGGTTAAAATACTTCCTTTATTTCATTTTTTGTGTTTTTTTTATAAAGGGATTGGAAATGAAGGATAATTGTGAAACAGAGGAGTGTATGATAAGTGTGTTTGCTCAAATCGATTACGAACCTCCAAAAGACAACACGCCAAGTCATTCGGGAACTCAACCGCAGAGTCCGAAGTAAGAGAACATTGATTCTCATGAGGCCCAGCCAAATAATTGAAAATTCATTTTGCTTCTAATTTTGTAACAGATATGCGCCATTTGCTTCTAATTTTGTATCGTGATATGTGCCGTGTTATCGTAAATCCCACTTATTAAAGATCCTGATATTGATTTCTTAGACCTAGTAAAAATTCATATCTAGCAACAACTAATGTATAAACATATCACGGTTTCATAAGGTACAATATGATTTCAGTCCTAAGTTATTTCTTAAGAAACTTAAACGAAGAACTACTAAATCTTTGTTGTAACTTTGTTGTTCATAGAATGATATAGGCAAAATTAAGAGTGGTCCAAAAAGAGTATCAGCGCTAGTTAACTTGTAAACAAAGGTTTCTGAATCCATTGCATTGGTGGGTGTGGTGGACTATGTTCTGCTTCTTGGGCCTTGAGTTTGGTGGGGCCTTAGCCCAAAATAAATTGTCCGCTTATAATATGAAAATTTAAAAACTTGAAAAGATGAGGGAGAAATTAGGCTTAAACTAGTTACATTGAGGACAGTTGCACTAAATTTTTAAAAGAGTGTAGGGGAAGCGCTCGATCCAAATATGTGGTGAAATTAGTTTTTGATTTTTAATTGCTTCCATTACATACTGCTACAAGAAACTCCTAATTTACATATGTTTCTTTATTACTTAACATAATTCATCGTAGCATAGCACAAACTTGGTAGTTTAAACTTTTAAACCTTATGCAAGAGAGCTGATTTTGTCTCTCTTCAGTTTGGAGTTGATGACTTGTCTTGATAAAACTTTGGATTATGAGTTGAAATCCAAAGAAAAGCTCCCATAGCAAATTCTCGCTTGTGAGCCAAGTCACCATAAGTAGACAAACCGTAATCTGCTAAAATCCTGTCGAGTTTCCACTCTGGCATGTCTTGGTAATCTTCTCTAGAGTATCTCGGGTAGTGAAGAGGCATCTGAAACACACTTGCTTCGTCGTTCTTGCGATTCCCGACATCCATTAATATTTTTCTTTTTATGTGTTTGCTTCCGATGTGGCAATATGCATGTGTTACGTTTATGTTCTTCTAAGGATTGTAATATATATAAAGATGTTGGAAGCGATGGTTTGCACACTTAACGTGTGAGTTTTTTGTCACACGGATTGGTTTGCTTACCTTCTTCAATTTCCTTTGCTAAACGCATGAACATGTGGATAGACACGTTAGTGCACGTACGTACGGATAGTTTTCAAACAAAACTTGGATCGTAATACGTTTTCTAAACTGCTAAGAATATACAAATTGATATCAACGTCGATGCTATAATTATGGTTTAAGTATAGTTTTTTGGACTTTGACAAAAAAAAGGATGTTATTTGGGTGTCGTATAATATGATAAGTATATTTTTCTCGTTTAAGGTTTTGGGAAATTAGCAAAACTGAAAGAAAAAAACACAAACATAATATCGTTCAATATTGAAATCTTATATGTTCAACTCTTATCGTTCTGCTTGAGATATTTTTATGACATTTTCGATGAAATAACATAAAACACGCGCTTTTTAGTATAAAATTTCATAAAGAATTGGCTTCTAGGCAAAATGAGAACTTGAATAATAATATGTATTACTCTCTAAATGTGTTGAATTTAACATGGATAGTGTAACCTTATAGTGGGTTTATTATTAATTCTCTTCTTGCGAGATCTCTTGTACATACCATTAATCAGGTTTTCTCTCTTGAATAATAAAATCAGAGGTGGCAAAAATCAGTGTAAATTTATAATGTTCATATGTAATAACATTGTAAGGAAATTCCAAAAACAATAATATTTTGTATGTGTGTGTGTGAATATTACGTTTATTAATCTGATGGGTTTTACTCCTTCCCAAATACTTTGTTCTTCTCTTCAAAAAATTAGCAATTCTATCCACGTTACAAAAAGGAAACAAAATCGAAAAAAAATATAAGACAAATCAGTGACTGCTAGCTCAGGTTCTTGTAGGTCCCATCGTGACTCACTTCGTCTGAGAGCCTGCGACGTGTCATCAAAAATCATTGAACGAGCCCCACTGGCTTCGCCGACGTCCCTATGGACCAAAACCACACTTCTGCTTCCAGAAACTTCGTCACAAACTCTTGGCTTAGATTTCGCCAGAAAATTAGCGGTTCATGTCACGCCACGTATATGGACATCCCACGTTATTTATCCTACGTGGCTACTCTCATTTCCGAAATAATGATACGTTTCCGCGTTTTTTTGTAAGATTTTAAAACAACCCCAAACTTATTGCTACTTTCTTAACTCGCCCCTGTTATCTGATCCACGTATAAACACTCCTTTGTCCTTCCTCGTTCTTCATTCGTCAATATAACCAGGGTCGTGTCTAAAAACACTTTCTGAAGACAACCCTATATTGGGAAACAAATAACGATATTACAAAATTGCATTTCTCGTAAATGTTTTGGTCCACATATTCGAAAGAGATATTTGAATGGCTTACATATCTCCCAATATATATTCCGAAGAGATATTTACTTGGCTCACATATTTTCCAAGATATTTCAAATGTTTATTTTGGATAAAAGATATTTCAAAATTTTGTCCACCAAATCCCAACAATTTTGTGAGAATTCATAATTAAAAGTCAAGATATAACTCTTAACTACTTTCTTTCCTTTTTTGGGTACAATATTATTATGCTTGAAACCCCAATCGTTTTTTACTACTATTAAAATCATCAAATTTCCTAGATCCAAAACTAGTAATGATACATATAAAAGATTTGAATCACTCATCTTCTATATCGTAACTCCATATTTTGTTGTTCTACAAATTAATTGCAACCTAACGGCTAATATATGCAACTAATTTTAATTAATTTTATGAATTAATTACGAAATTTGTTTATGACTTATTTATGTGCATGATTAGAAAACACTGTAAAAAGTCATTTGAATAATGTTTATTTCTAACCTTTGAAATACAAAACATCTAAATGTAAAACTAAAAAGCCAAGCGAAAAAATAACCTGCTGTATTATGTATGCTAATGAAAATAATTAGACATAATCAATAAATATTCATGGAAATGATTTTTACAGAAAAAAGGGAATGAAATGACTTTCTAACCAATACATTTGGACTCATCCATATATACATTTTTTCCATATATACATTTAATTGTTTCTGAATATATATGTATGTGAAATATTAGTTATGAATCTTTCTTTGTTCACGAATTACGGCTGCGGAAATTTTGATTACGAGTTTTAATATTTTCAAATAAAAACAACATGGAAGAGGGGTTCTTTCTGATACAAAAATAAATACGGGGGATGAATCAAAGATTCTTAAATCATAGAGATTTATTTGAAAATATAGCCTTTTTATCTCTCTAAAGAAAAAAAAACCCATCAAACCCTTCCGTCTATACATACACATACCCCTTACACGTCAACTTCTCTGAAAACTGCATTTTTCAATTCATTGTTTCTTTCTGCTTTCTTCGTCGAGTCTTTTTTAAAAACTGAAATGAATGGCGAGGGAAAATCGGAGGCTGGAGCTAACGCCGTCGCACCAGAGGAGGAGGAGGAAGTAGGGCAGAGAGTGGTGTACATGTGGGGTTACTTGCCCGGAGCCTCGCCGCAACGGTCGCCTCTGTTGTCACCGGTCGTGGTGAAGATTCCGCCGGAAGTCGAAAGCTCCTGGAAAGATGTCTCCGGCGGAGGTTGCGGTTTCGCAATGGCTACTGCAGGTTCTCTCTCTCTCTCTCTCTCTCAATCTATTAGGTTTCCATCTTTCAGAAACGGTTTCAATCAGTTTGCGTTTAAAGTTCCACATTCTCGAATTCCTCCCAAATCTCACAATGTATTTGATTGTAGATTAGCTTAATCGAAATCATAGTGAGATTGTTTTGTATTTGATTACTTGACTTCTTTGGTTATGTTTATCAGAATCGGGGAAGCTAATTACATGGGGTTCGACAGATGATCTAGGTCAAAGCTATGTCACATCCGGGAAGCACGGAGTAAGCTTTTCTTTCTCTTGTTGTGTGAATTTGCTAATTGTGAAAAAAATTAGTGTTACAGTCTCTTACTAAATTGAGTTACACTTAATGTTTCGCTTTTATAGGAAACTCCGGAGCCTTTTCCTCTTCCTCCGGAGGTTAGTGTACAGAAAGCTGAGGCCGGATGGGCTCATTGCGTGGCAGTTACAGGTGCATTTCATGATCTGATTTTAGCTTGACCACATCTGTTTTGAAGTTCATTACTGAATTGTTTTAGAACCATTTGTTTCCTTTGGATTACAGAGAACCATGAAGTTTATACATGGGGATGGAGGAAATGTATACCCACTGGGAGAGTGTTTGGACAGATAGAGGGAGATTCATGTGAAAGAAACATTTCTTTCTCAGCAGAGCAAGGTGAATCACCTTTCTCCTTCGCCTGTTTTGTGAAAGCTCTATAAATATGTTTTTTGCGTTGTGGATGAATTTGGAGGATGGTGTATCTTTTGCAGTGAGCCCTAGTTCTCAAGGGAAAAAATCTAGCGGTGGCACGTCTTCTCAAATGGAAGCTAGAGGTGGAGCGGAATCAACAAAGAAAAGGCGGATTTCGCCGGCAAAGCAAGCTGCTGAAAACTCATCACAGTCCGAGAACAACAACGACCTCTCGGCATTGCCTTGCCTTGTATCGTTGGCTCCAGGAGTTAGGATTGTCAGTGTTGCTGCTGGTGGACGTCATACTCTAGCATTATCAGGTGAGATTTTTCAGCTTCTTAGACCGATCAGTGACGGTATCTCCATTAAGCTGTAAGAGCTCCTGGTGTGCTGTAATAAACACTTATGTATCCTAATTTTTCTCTGAAGTCCAGATATTGGACAGGTGTGGGGTTGGGGTTATGGAGGAGAAGGACAGCTTGGATTGGGCTCCCGTGTACGCCTAGTCTCTTCTCCTCATCCTATTCCGTGCATTGAGCCTTCTTCTTATGGAAAAGAAAGTTCTGTGGCCGTTTCTGGTGTAAACATGAGTTCAGAGGTACAATGTGGCCGAGTTCTTGGAAGTTATGTTAAAAGGATTGCATGTGGAGGGCGACACAGTGCTGTGATCACAGGTATTGTTCTCTCTATATTTCTTTTGTGGCTAGACTTTTATTTGATTCGAGTGTTTAAATTTATCACTGAAAATAACGCATTTCAACCTTAGATGAACTCTGTAACCAGGATTTTGAAATTTGCTTTCCTTTCTGCACTATTCCTTAGTTAAGGTTTGCTTGTTTTGAGGCTTCTTGGAGTCCTTCATAAAACTATGAACAGGCCACAAAAATGTCGACCCTTTAATGGCGAAAAGATTGGTCAATGTTATTTAAGGATTTTTCAGATGAACTATAAATTGCCTTGCATTTAATACGAATGACTTGTAACAATTTTTGTATGGACAGATACTGGAGCGCTCCTTACATTTGGTTGGGGGCTTTATGGACAGGTGAGCACGAAAGATCTTTGGCTTTTCTATTTCAAACAGTTGCTGAAAACTTGAATGAGTTGAGATTCTTGCTTTCCGCTATATGTGGTTTTGGCAACTAAATTTTGAGGAAAGCTAATCAACTGAAAACAATCTCCTTTGCTTGACTTGTGCTACTAGTTTTTGCACTTAGTTCTTATATATGGGTCTTTAGAAGTAATTGAATATTCTTCTTTTTTTTTTGCTCTGTGAAGTGTGGCCAAGGGAGCACAGACGATGAACTAAGTCCTACATGTGTATCCTCGTTGTTGGGAATTCAAATAGAGGGAGTTGCTGCAGGTCTATGGCACACAGCCTGCTTTTCATCTGATGGTGATGTTTATTCGTTTGGTGGAAACCAATTTGGCCAGTTAGGTACTGGTTGCGATCAAGCCAAGGTAAGAATCTTGAACTATATTGTTTTACTCAGCTCTAGTAATGCTAATTCTGAAGGCCTTTCGTTGAACTTGAAAACCAATATGTTATTTCAGACTCTTCCAAAATTATTGGAGGCTCCAAATTTGGAAAACGTGAACGTCAAAATCATCTCCTGTGGTGCTCGTCACACCGCCGTAATCGCAGGTACCCATTATAACCAAGACCACCTCTAGTTACCTTGGAAAGAAAATTCATCTTTAAAGATTAAACACTGCATTGTCTTTTTGTTTCTATTGGTTGCAGATGAAGGGAAAGTATTCTGCTGGGGATGGAACAAATACGGGCAGGTAAAGATATAGCAGGAGTTTCTGAAATTGCAAACTATTGTTGCTTTTGTTCCATTTTCTACTAATGAAAGACAGTTTTGTGTGACTGAAACAGTTGGGTCTAGGAGACGTGATTGATCGGAATTCTCCTTCAGAGGTTAAAATCAAAGACTGCTTCCCCAAAAACATTGCGTGTGGTTGGTGGCATACTCTGCTTCTAGGCCAACCCTCTCTCTGAATGTGCCACACAACACAATACACACACACACACAGAGATCCCCCAATTTTGTTAGTGTTTAGAGCCAACTTTAGATTTCATATACATAGACGTAGTGTTGTACATACACTAGCAGCAAGTATATACAATGTAAGGCTGATTTACTCAGCTTTTGTTTCTTCTGATTAGCTTAACTTTAAAATGGAGGGGAATTGAAAACAATAATTTAGATTCAGCTGATGTTCCTATGTTTTATACTTCTGCTACTAAATATTAAAACAAGACAATCCTATAGAAAATTATTTACTATAAGAAATAAGTCAAAACGATAAAATATAAGTCAATGGATGCAAAAATTAAATCAAGGGTTAAAATAAATCAATTTTGTGAAAAAATCAACTAACCAAAATATAAAATCGATTACTTGATAAAAACGCTACGAAAATCAAAATGAAGTCAACTACTATAAAGTACACAAATCATTTTTTTGGGTCAATCTATAAAGTACACAAATCGATAAATCAAACAACTCAATCTTATAAACAAGCCAACATATAACACTATAAGTCTACAATGAAAAAAATACTTCAACGAAAATAAGTTTAAATCAATAAAATAAAATGAAAAATCAAAAACCAAATTTTGGACATTATCTCAATTTGAATCTAGTTGTTGATGGATCTGAGTTCATGTTACATATAAGCTGATGTTGTAAAGTTTTGTCTTTCAAATATACTAGGTGTTCATAGATACTTTAAACACAAACAAAGATGACTTATAAGATTATTTTGGTAACCACTCTGAATATATTATCTACATATGAAAAAAAAATTCTTCAAGTCAAAAATATATAGACCATTTTTATGGAATTATAGAACAAAAATATATAGACCATTTATATGAAATTTATTAGAGCCAATATTGGGCATTATCTTTACTTGAATCTAGTTGTTGATGGATCTGAGTCCATGTTACATATAAACAGATGTTGTAAGAGTCATAGGTTTAAGTCTTTCAAATATACTAGGTGTTCATAGCTACCCTGAACACAACAAATATGACCTATAAAATTATTTTGGTAACGACTCTGAATATGTTATATCTTTCGTATGAAAAAAAAAAATCTCTTTTGTTCACTTTGAAAGTAAATAAAAATCATTTAAAGCTCTTGAAATTATCATTATAAACATCATATATATAAGCACACAAATTAGTGTATATTTTGATGAACGTGGAGTATATTTCTTCATTTACACAGTTAATATTTATTCCATTTAAATCTCATATAATAATACTTCTTCAAACAGTGTTATTAAATGTTTTGGACAAACATTAATTTCCTCATGAAGCTTGAATATGTATACTTTGTTTCGTCTATATATTTTAAAGTAGTTTAAATCCAATGAGGTTACTGATGGAATATTCAATATAATTTCGTTCGTGGTATATTGTTGTTATAATCTAATCCAATTTGATAATCTCGTTTCTCCCGTCTATTGTTCTTGTATCAGCAGAACTCACACATTTCCAAACGAGCTTGAAGATCGTTCTGACTATCTTACACCATTTTGCATCAGGTGTGAAGTGAGTCACTCTGACTTTCTTGCGTTAACATTAAAATATTTGTTTCACCAATCAAGATTCCATATATATTTTGTACTGCATCATGATTCATTTCAGGTGTTGCACAGAAATATGATGAACGACGTTTGAAGATGGTGGTTGAGTTCCGGTGTTAGGCTTTCGCGTGGCTGCACGGTGATGCGTGGTATCCACGTAAAGAAACATCGACGGCCAATCATTAATGGTCTCGGGTCGAGAACATATTGATACTTGGAAACATGTTTACATTTGCCATGACATTTATTGTAATGGAGAAGTTGAAACGCCAGATAGAGTGATGTAATGAACCATTTGATTGATTTTGTCCGAACTTGTTTTTGTAGCCTAGTGGAAACATGGATAATCCATTTCAATAATTTTATTCATACGAGTTTGATGAATGTCCCGTTCTTACCACAGATGGTTTGGGTATTTATGATTTCGGTTATTTAAATAGAAAGCCACCGGTTAAGGCAACAAAAGTATACAGACCCTTTATATGGAATTTATTAGAGCCAATATTAGACATTATCTTTACTTGAATCTAGTTGTTGATGGATCTGAGTCCATGTTACATATAAACAGATGTTGTAAGTCATAGGTTGGAGTCCTTCAAATATACTAGGTGTTCATAGCTACCCTAAACACAACAAATATGACCTATAAGATTATTTTGGTAACCATTCCGAATATGTTATATCTTTCGTATCTTTCGTATAAACAAAAAAAAATCTCTTTTGTTCACTTTAAAAGTAAAGAAGAAGCATCTAAAGCTCTTGAAACTATCATTATAAACATCATATATATAAGCACACAAATTAGTGTATATTTTGATGAACGTGGAGTATATTTCTTCATTTACACGGTTAATATTTATTCAATTTGAATCTCATATAATAATACTTCTTCAAACAGTGTTATTAAATGTTTTGGACAAACATTAATTTCCTCATGAAGCTTGAATATGTATACTTTGTTTGGTCTATATATTTTAAAGTAGTTTAAATCCAATGAGGTTACTGATGGGATATTTAATATAAGTTCGTTCGTAGTATATTGTTGTTATAATCTAATCCAATTTGATAATCTCGTTTCTCTCGTCTATTGTTCTTGTATCAGCAGAACTCACACATTTCCAAACGAGCTTGAAGATCGTTTTGACTATCTTACACCATTTTGCATCAGGTGTGAAGTGAGTTACTCTGACTTTCTTGCGTTAACATTAAAATATTTGTTTCACCAATCAAGATTCCATATATATTTTGTACTGTATCATGATTTATTTCAGGTTTTGCATAGAAATATAATGAACGACGTTTGAAGATGGTGGTTGAGTTCCGGTGTTGGGCTTTCGCGTGGCTGCACGGTGATGCGTGGTATCCACGTAAAGAAACATAACATCGACGACCAATCATTAGTGGTCTTGGTTCGAGAACATATTGATACTTGAAAACATGTTTATATTTGCCATGATATTTATTGTAATGGAGAAGTTGAAACGCCATATAGAGTGATGTAATGAACCATTTGATTGATTTTGTCCGAACTTGTTTTTGTAGCCTAGTGGAAACATGGATAATCCATTTCAATAATTTTATTCATACGAGTTTGATGAATGGTTTGGGTATTTATGATTTCGGTTATTTAAATAGAAAGCCACCGGTTAAAGCAACCAAAGCCATAAACCGGATACACAATATGTTATTCTTGCAAATAAAAAAGTTACGTTCACTCAAATTTCCTTTCGTCTCGAATTTTACTTGCCTCAAAGGTGTTTGACGAATTGTCTGAATGACTTGAAATTCGGAGAAACTGAAGGCATTCGATTTATCTTCTCCTCTCCAATCTGAACAAGGTCTAACCTCATCCTTTTCTTTTCTATCTGTTTCCTGAATTCAGTAGTATTCAAATTTATGTTTTCGCGAAATCAAGTATTCCATTTTTGGAATCGATCACTATCCTGTCTCTCAGGATTCTGGAATTGGGTTTTCGATTCGTTTTTGGTGTGGTCTCTTAGTTGGATCTGAATATTCAATTCTTTTGTCAGATCTGTGATGATGAGAATCAGCAAAACAGAGATCAATTTAAGGAGATTGCTTTCCGCTGCACCTAATCAACAAAATCAGTCAAAACTTATGCATGTACGCCTTCTAGATCTTCTTCATGTACACACTATATTAGTTTCTTGTAATCTCCTTCTGTTATTGTGCTTATAGCCTCAAAACCAACTTTGATGTAAATATTTGCAGTATGTTGCTACTCTGAGGGAACAATTAGAACAACTCTCGGAAGAGAAGACACCTGAAGGTCTTCCCAGGTTACTACTCTCTCTCTGAATGATTCAGCATTGCAAATTTAATCTTTCATAGATTACTGGGTTAATATCTCGATTTTGGTTATCTCTTTCTAGGATCAAGTGTTAGAGATTTGAGTTGAATTGCTTATCTTCTCTTCTGATCTCTTTGCCAGAGTTACAAAGGCTAAAGTGAATGAATACTATGAGAAGATTGAAGCTGTTGCTTCCAAAATAGCTGCTCAAGTGGTAAGTCACCTATACTATAAAGAGACTGTTTTTCTTTCTTCTTTTGGGTTCTCGAGCGGAGAAATTAGGAGTAACCTCATAGAAGACATGTAGGCTCTAGCTAATATGATGCGCATTGTTTCTTAGTAAATTGTTTCAACTTTCTTTCCTACTATACTTCCCGCATAGAACCATTTCTAGTTACAAGAATTCCCGCGTAGAACCATTTCTAGTTACAAGAATTCCAAGCTCTACTTGTGTGACTAATACCAAAAAGATTGTTGATCTTTGCCAAATTTTACAGCCTGTCACAGAGGTATCTGATGAACCTTTTGCTAAGGACTCCACCTGTGAAAGCTCTCCAAAATTACAGGACGATGCTCGAAGTCCGACTTCTTCACAGCTGAGAAGAAGAATTGTGTAAGTTGAATACTTGATTCGCTAGCTTCTAACCTTGTAAACTTTTTAGTTTCTTACTGGCTTCTTTGACTGAGCTAGGTCTACAAGTTCCAAGGATCAAAGCTATGATGCTGCTAATGCTGATCCATCAAAAACAGTAAAACTAGACACCGCGGCTCAAGCACACATTGATAAGCACAGGTGCTTTCATACTTCAATGAGAAAAACTAAGGAACTCATATAATCTGTGCACTTTCCTTAGTAAAACACCAAGATGATCGCGATGTGAGTTTGAGTTTAAGTTGCGGTGTTGGTCAATTATTTGATGGCAGAGAGCTTCAGGAGCATCTCACGGATGAAATGGTGGTACTTGCGAGACAACTCAAGGAGAGTAGCCTCATGATAAGCCAATCTGTGCAAAATACAGAGAAGGTTAGATGCTAAACTTCTTCCTCACAAACCCCCAATTATTGTTACTATTGGTTCGTAGTATATTGTTTTTACTGTGGCTTCATTGGTCTTAACATTTTTGTTGTTGTGGTGGTGGATTCATTTGACAAAAGATACTTGACTCTACCGAGGAGGCCATTGAGCAAAGCTTAGCGAGCACGGGACACGCAAACGTAAGAGCCACAAAGATTTATTCAGAGTCTTCAAAGACGAGTTGTTTCCAATGGCTTTTGATGTTCGCCATGACCTGTGTGTTCATAATGGTTGTATTGTTGATCCGAGTCACATAGAAGATGGTTCCGAGTGTAAACCAAATTAGTGAAAACTTTTAAGAACATTTTAGTCTCTTTATTAGCTAGTTATACAAGTTGTTAAAAGATCATTGTGACTTTGTAAATTATGAGTTGGATTTGTGAAGCTACTTTCTTTAAGATTCGTACCGGATTTTTATACAAACCGGAAGTCAACTAAAGAAATTAATTTGGTTTACGTTGACTTTCGGTACAGATCAGTGCAATTCGTGAATTTTGTATCTGTGATAATTTTTTTTTTTTGGGCAACACTTAAAACCCTAAGTAAAGGCGAAAAACCTTGAGAAAAATCCAATTTCTTGAAACCGCCATGGTTTTCGCTTGGTGCATTCGCAGGTCAGCTTCTAGTTTAGCTTTCGTGTGTGCTCGTGTGGCTCGAGCTCAGGCCGTCTCTGTCTTCGTCAATCGCTCGTCTCTCGTTGTTCCCAAGCCATCTTCTCTGCTGCGTCCTTTCGTATCTCGTGGCTTTCTCTATTCGACGGCCACTGAGCGGTTAAAGTCCGATCAGACGCTTCTCCAAGTGATTGACTCCGAGATCAACGAAGCTTTCGAAGCCGATGATCACGATGTGGTAAATTAACCCACTTTTTCCATTTCCTAAAACGCCATTTTCAGCTCACTTGTATTCACTGGAAACAATCGAGAGATTATCAGATTAGAAGATATTGTTTGGGTTTAGTTTGATATCTAAAAGAGAATTGAAAACGCAAATGTTGAAAATTTGGCGTATTTTTGCCTTAATTTATACATTTCTACTTGAATTGCCTGAGTAAGTTCCAAATTTGGATCATGCCTTTATTTTCACAAGCACTGGATTAGGAATTGTGATTTAAGCGTTTACATGATTCCTGGTTATTGAAAATGTTCTTTATGCAGGATGAAGGGACAACAGCCTCTGGTGAATTTCCTTTCAAAATCGAAGATAAACCTGGACACCGGAGTGTAACATTGACTAGAGAGTACAACGGAGAGCAGATTAGAGTAGAAGTAAGCATGCCTGGTCTTGCCATGGATGAAAATGAGGATGATATGGATGACAATGAAGATGGAGATGTTCGTAATGAGAAATCGAATGATACAAGCATTCCACTAGTTGTCACAGTGACCAAGAAGAGTGGACTCAGCTTAGAGTTTAGCTGCACAGCTTTCCCCGATGAGATTGTCATTGATGGTTTGTCTGTGAACCATCCAGAGAATTCTTCTGAAGAGCAATTGGCATATGATGGGCCTGATTTTCAGTAAGCAACAGTTTTTTTATCTTCGAAAGTTGCTTTTTTTTTACTATGATGATCAAAAACTTCAAATTTTCTTTCTTTCTTTGTTTGGCTGTGCAGAGAGTTGGATGAGAATATGCGCAAGTCGTTTCACAAGTTTCTCGAGACCAGAGGAATAAAAGCAAGCGCAACGGATTTCATGTATGAGTACATGATGAAGAAAGATAGCAGAGAGTACTTGCTATGGTTGAAGAATCTCAAGAACTTTATCCAAGAATGAAGACATTCTAAGAATAGTAGTCTTTATTGTTGCAGGTTTTATTGTATTGACTTCTAAGTTCACATGGTCTTTTAGAATGTGAAATTCGAATTCAAATCTTTTTGTTAACAGCTTCTTTTGCATGGAGAATGATGAAAGTAGAAATGGTAAATTAAAGATTGTGGTGGCTTATAAGGAGTTTTACAATGAAGAGTAGCTAAACACTTTGCTATTATCAAACACAAAAGGTAGAGGGATCTTCTTACATTGATGCAATCCTCAACGAACACTATATCCTAATTAAAGCTTCAATCAGAATAGTAAAATATGATATGACATTAGCAGAGAGAGAGAAAGCTAAAGCGCATTTTCCATTGCGCCATGTCCATTCTCCAATGCGTCTTTCCTTTTTAAGACAGGAAGGTCTTTGTGGGTGTAAACGACTCCATTGTCTCCATCCACAACTTGTCCTTTTCCTCTCAATATCCTGTCATTCATCACCACAACCATTCAAACTTCACAGATTCTAACAAAAGCAATGTACAGAGGAAGAAACAAAAAAAAACAACTCAATTGTACCATCTCGTTGTCAATAGTCCTTCGACTCCAACTGGACCACGAGCATGGATCCTGCTTGTGCTTATTCCCACCTATACAACAAACCACATTGGCCATTCATTCATTCACTAGATCTTCTCAATTTATTTGTTATAATATGTGATAACTATGTGTCTCTCTTTCGTACCTCAGCACCAAGTCCAAATCGAAAACCATCAGAGAATCTTGTGCTTGCATTGTGTAAAACAGCAGCACTGCCAAGTTTTAAGAGTTCAGTTTCCAATATATTCACCCTCAAACATTTTATAAACTGGAAATCAAAAGCATAAAATGCTTTAGTACCTGTCCACTTGGCGGAGGAAAATCTCTGCGACTTCACCATCTTCTGTCACTATGCAATCAGTGTGTGCACTGCTCTCACGAGATAGACAAAAAAAAGTGACCACACTTAATTTTCCGCACATGCAAAGTATACAGAGCGGTAGGCCCTTTGAAATTTTGTTGTTATCATTTAGTTTGAATCAGCAATAATTTTTACCTTCCATGTTGGTGAATATGATCTATAGCACCATGTACGTCTTCTACAATTTCAACGGTGCATGTCTTGGAACTGTACTCGTGATGAAATGATTGTGTTTCCGGAATGTTCAGTTTAGCACTTGCTCTTGGCCCACCATACAAAGTGACGCCTGCAATTTGACACGTACACTTCAAACAAAAATCTCTAATGAAACTAGTAAACAAACTAGTATTTATGGTTTGAAGCATTGATAGTTCATGATTAAAGTCAGAATTGTGTGGCTATGAAACATCCAGACTGAACTAGTGATTCTGATAGATCCAATACAACACACTCATTTTATGAGGTTATCCCAAACTTCTATTCTTACCACTGGATTGCAGAGCATATATAAGCTCATTGAGAACACCATTCTCCTCCAGATCCTTATGTACAAGAAGGGTTTCCTATTAGGAGAAGGAAAAAAAAGAAGGAGAAGATAAAGTGAGACAAGAAGGAATAAGTGCCGAAAACGGAATCACTAAATTGCCTAAGTGAACATTACTGAAAAAAGTAAAAGCCTCTAACCATCGCGTTGCAGGCTGCTGGATAGTCTATCTTTGAATCTGAAACTACGCGCTTTGCCATGTCCATTTTACAAGACTTGTCAACATATACATGACAGATTCCATCTGGAAGCACACAAAAATAAGCCATGTTCTCTCTAAGTCAATCCAGCTTAATGGGAAGTGAACTTAAATACTTACCAGCATGCCCTAGCACAGGAATTTTCGTCGAGTTTTTTATTTGAGAAACAAGCTTGTTGCTGCCTCTTGGGATCACAAGATCAATAACGTCATCAAGCTGTAGCATAAATGCAATTGGTGGGTTTCAGTTTAAAGTAAGATTATATTCACTTCTGGTGACTTTCCGTTCATGTATCTATTTACCTTGAGCAAATCAGGAATCTCCTCTCTCGAAGTCACAAGTCCAATGAGTTTACTTCCAACAGTTTCCGGAATTGCATCAGTGATCACCTACAAGTTATCCATGGATTTCACAACTTAGTTCCAGACAAAATTAGAGATTACTTCAAATTATGAAATATGAGGTCAGTGTACCTTGTGTAAGATGGCATTTGATCGACGAGCTTCCTTTCCACCTTTCAGCAGAAGACCATTTCCACTTCGGATTGCAAGCGAAGCTATCTGTTTGATTCAGTGACAGAGCATGGTGTTCAGCGATCAAAATTCAAATCTAAGAGCCTAAAAGGCAATGACTCGTGACATACCTGAACAAGTGCATCAGGACGGGATTCAAAAACAATCAGAAGAACACCTAATGGCGATGAGGTTTTCTCTAAAATAAGGCCATCTGCAACCTGTTACATAAAAAAGAGCGTCATGAACAATATGATTTGACAACTTTTTTCATGTTAACTGAGAGGAAGATTTACAGCATATTACCTGAGTTTTTTTTAATACACGACCGATTGGATCTTCCATTTTGGCTAACTGGCGAATGGAAGCTGCAAGGCCTGAGATCTATCAAGTAAAAAACAATGTAAAGTTAGAAAAAAATGGACCTTATGAGTAGAAAAAAATGGACCTTTTGAGTAGAAAAAAATTGGCGCAGTATATTTAATCAGACAGTGAATAATGTCTTACCTTTCCAGGCTTCATAACTAAGCGAGCTACCATAGACTCTTCATATCCAGCTTCTTGTGCTGCAACAACATCTAAATCATTCTCAGCTTTAATTGTTTTCTCGTTTGCTTCAAGGGCGTTGGCAATATCAAGTAGAATTTTTCTCCTATCTTCTGAAGACAAGGCCTGTAAGCAGATCGCAAACTAGCTGAGTTCACTTGCAAAACGGGAAGGAATTTCTGAATTTACAAAATTGAGTAAACTTGCATTAGCCCTAAAATTACCTGAAGCTTTCTGGAACTTTCCCTTGCAGCAACTGCCATGTCACGAGAAGTAGTATTTACAACCGGAGCCCATAAATGAGCATCTTGATGGAATAGAGTACCAACACGCAGTCCTCTAAGGACTTTAGCTATATTCTCAGCATCATAGCCGCTTCAAAAAAAAAGCAAGAAAAATATCACTCTTATCGATCAGTCCTTCTAAATTGAAGACAAAATATTAAGATTCAGGGGAAGAATCAGATGCTAAAATTCGAGCACGTGGAGAAAAAAATTGTGATAAAGGAAAGAACTTCAACAGAGCTGCAATATGAAGTTACAGCATCTCTTATTCTTTAAATTCATTTTTTTTTAAAGTAAAGACAGTTTTTAATTCTCTTTTTTCAAAATGGAAGGTCACTGTACTATGCAGTATAATTACAGATTATGAGCAAGGAAGGGCCTTTTACCTGGTTATGATAACAGGAATGCCACCATAAGCTGCATTAACAGCAGCTTTAACTTTTGCAGTCATACCACCTCGTCCTAATTGGGACTTTTCGCCAAACGTAATCTCATCCTGGTGTTTTTCTTTAATGTATGTGTGGATTAATTTTGAATTAGGATCGCTTGGAGGGCCAGTATAAAGACCCTCAACATCACTTAGAAGAATCAAAAGATCAGCTTTCAGCTCCAGCGACAGTAGAGCAGCTAAGCTGTCATTATCCCAAAATATACCAGTAGCATCCTGCATAGGTTCAGAGTGTGGTGAAGCTGTAGGGTTAGACTAGAAGAATCAGAAGAAAGAGGAAACTACTCGATCGAAATTTATTCATGTACAGTCAGTTAGTAACGCTTAGTAGAAAACTTCAAGTCAAAAGCAACCAAAAAGAAAGGCAATGAACAAACCTTATAGGGGGCCTTTCGAGTGCTTATAGCATCATTCTCATTGAAAACTGGAATAACTCTCATTTTCAGCATTGCTCTGACAGTTTCACTAAGTTGCTTCCTGAAATCCTTATCTCTAAAACTGCTATCAGTCACCAGCATTTGAGCCACCGTCACATCCAACTAAAATTGACGAGGAAACAACACATCAGTATTTGAAATGCTTGCCAATAATCAATAAACAGCCATAAAAGAAAAGAAAACCAAAAGAAGCATCACCTGGTCAAACATAGTCTCATAGTAAGCCATGAGACTGCTCTGTCCAACACCAGCACAAGCCTTCCCATCAAGTTCGGTCTGTGGCCTCTGGAGGTCTGCAAAGCTGGAATCCGTAGAGAAGAAGAAGAAGATGAAGGATCAGTACAAAAACAAAAACAAAAATACAATTCCCCCCTGAGAGACAATTCGAGTCTTTGAGGGAAACCAAACTTAAGGCTTGTTTCCATGACATAACCTGCTGTTCACTAATTGTCTGTAGCGAAGCCTTTGGCGACCAAGACCAACCGCACCAGATGACACCAAAATCACCTCAAATCCATCCGAGTTTAATTCCGCGAGCTGACATTATATTTTTTTTTGTACGAATTAAAATTTAAAGGGACGACTTTTACACAAAATAAACACTTGTTTCTTTTTTTGAGCTAAACCAAAAACGTTTATCGAAGTTAATTTAAAATCAAATCACCTGCTCGCAGATAGCTCCTAAGCGCCCAAGAGCCAATCTTCCACCTTTCCCAGTAACAACTGCAGTCCCAACCTGTAAAATATTCAAAAATCGGATAATTAATATAACCATAAATCTCTGAATCAAATGAAAGTGTAATAAAGGGAGAAAGTTCGCAGATTTGGGAAAAGTTTCAATTTGGAAAAACAAACAAAAACACATTGTTATTGTTTTTCCACAGTTCCCCAGATTTCTCCGCCGCCAAAAATGCTAAATTTAGAGAAGCAATTATTGAAATATGAAGGAGAACACGAATACCAATTGACACAAACCAACAATGATCAGACTTCAATAAAAGTCAAACCCGGGAAATTTTTTTGATCAAACAAAAAAATTGAGAAATGAAAACCTTGACAACGATACGTTTAACGTCCTTGGCGAAAGCTCGAGAACGATCGATCTCCGCCATGGTTGCCTATCAAAACCAGAGGGAACGAGTCAACTCAGTCGGACTCGGTCACCACCACGACGAGGAGGACGTGAGAATAGGAGGAGGAAATGGGATAATCCGGTGGGAAGAAGCGAATGGGTTTTTAAGAGCGTAGAGAAAGATGTCAAAATAGTTAAACAAACCCTTATATTTTGTCGAATATTAAGTAATAACACCCGAGTTCTTTAATAATAATTTTGAAACCCAATTTTCTGTAAAAAAAAACTGAACTCTATCTACACTACTACAAAACAATTCTACAATTCTAGTATCGCAAATGATCGTATTGAACGTCAACGTTATTTATATATGTATTTTGTTGTGAATTTAAGAATTATATATATATATATATATACATATATATTATTTGTCCCATGTTGATTAGTTTGCTGTAGATTGTCGATAGCTGCTAAACAACCATGTAATCATTATTTCAAATGGTCATGTTTAAAACAAATATTGTAAATTCTCGGAGTAATGCTACATATTTGTTGTGATTATTTATTTGAGAAAACTTTATCGTAAATTATTTTTTAATGCTTACTTTTTCTTAAAGGCATAATTTTTGTGGTCAAGTTATGTCGGATTGCTAATTTGTATCAAAAACTATCGCTATGTTGAAAAATTATAAAACTTAAACTCTTTAACGAGTTCTAATTTCTTTTTATTAAAAAAAAAATGTAGTCAAGTTTTTAACTAATTTGCAACCACGGCGATAAAAAAAAAAAAAAAATGCAACCACATGGCGCCACGTGAGGAGTGAGGGTTCCCACATCTAGATCCTAAATGATGACGTGGTCATGGTGGCCGTTATGTGACACAGTGGATCAGCTCTCTCGAGTGGCGAGGGCAATTTGGGTAATTTAATAAAATTGGCGGCTGAGAGAGCACCGTGAACGTGAACAACACAAAGGAGGACAGCAGAGCAGGTTTACTAAATATCTCATGATACAATTAAAATATTCATAATTCATACGCGGCGTCACAACATTTCTTTATCATCATTATTTATAAATTTGTCATCGTCAAATCCAAAAATTCTAGTGATTTTGACACAATAATGTGATACTTTATCTTATAATTTAAAATTAATAAATTTATATATTTTTTATCGTTTTTTTTTGACAAAGATATAATTTGTTATCGTTAAGTCCATATCTATACTTACTTACGTTTTGCTTAAGCAAGTGCAATGTCTTAGTAACTTCGGGAGTTCAGTAATCTGTAGGGAATTGAAACACTCTCTTATATTACTAGTGACGGATATTATTGAGTTTACATGTAGTAGTGTATTTCAATTTAGTAGTAATTTACACACCTGTAAATTCTCTTAGACATTCGTACCTACTTTAATTTTTTCTGTTTTTATTTCTTCTATCAACAATTTTGTGTGTGTGTGTGTGATATATGTATTCGTTTATTTGACGGAGACGGGTCCATACATTTTTTTTAGCTCATGTGAAGCGTTCAAAATTAGTTTCGCTAAGTGAAGACGAATTTTTGATAAGTAGTATATTTAGGAATAATGAATGAAAGGAAAACAATTTATTAAGTTTATTCGAGATTTTCTTTAGTTTCCATTTGAAAGACTTGAAAAGTTATACGACTCGGGCGTCTCTCTATAATTGTAGCTCAAATTTGCTCGCATGGGAAGCTAAAAAGTATTCATTTATATAATCAACAATTGCCCAATCTCTTGTCAATTATCAATACGTACGTGAGCTCCAACTTCTGTCCAATCTCTATCAATTTTTAACAATACATCCGGTTAGAATACGTTTCAATTTAACAATTTCACACGGCAGTAAACAATCACAATTATAGATATGTTTAAAGTTTTTAGATAGTAAAACTCTATACACAAAACAACCCACTTTTTCTCTCGCTTTCGTGTTCTAGTTTTGAAATTCTTGAACCTTTAAATTTACAAAGTATCTTTATTTGTATACACCTGCATCATTTTCAGTCACCTATTAAATACTCTATATGTTTCATTGTTAATGTCGTTTAAGTTTTTTCACATCTATTAAACATATTAAATTTCTACATTACCCTAATTAATACAATATATTAGAGATTTTACAGATTAATAAATAATAAGGTAAAAGAATATGCATAACAGCATAAGATAAAAAGATATTAAAAATATACATTACAAAAAGACGATATCTATAATAAATCAATTTTTAAATTCTAAAATGACATTTAATATGAGACGGATACCACACTTAATCACACACTATATTATGAAAGATTAAAACTACGTACCTTTACCTCTACTTAAAAAGATTGTGATTGATTATGTTGACGTCGGTAAGTGTTTGATCCCACATAACCAAAACTTCCATGTTTTTCTCTTTTCGTATTTAAGTAAGTCGAAATGAATAGATAAATAAACAGAATTGTGGTGGTGGGCACTCTTACTAAAACAGGAAATAATTAATATGCTTACATTTCTAGTGCATGACGTACGTGGTGGTGGCCTATTTACTCGTTTGTGAGTGAAAAATAATAAAAGTTGTGCATGTGTGTGTGTGTCTATGTGCTGAATAATTGGATCACAATCCTTCACCACGAAGAATAGAGTTCGAGGAAGGTAGTGTCATTAGACGCCCAAAAAGAAAAAAAAAAGAAGAAGAAGGTAGTGTCGTAATCAGGGATCTGGCTTCTATGCATAGACATAGTCACATAGTACTTCTTCTTTGGATCATGCAAAATTACTCGGCCGACGACGCGCGAAAAAACGATTATTTCTGTATATACAGATTTATGTAATTGTGAATTTTAGCATAATTCTAATAGAATCATTCGTGGGGTCAAAATAATGTCGCTTTACAATTTTTTTATGCCACAGTAGAAATGTAGAATGGCCGACATCATCGTATTGTAAGTCTGACAATTTCATCTTGTTATAGGGTTCACGGATGTTTTTTTGGTTTATGAAAATATTAATAGAAAAAACAGACTATGATTTAGGGGAAACAAGTTGTATAGTAGGCTTGTGGTATTTCTGTAGGAGTGTTTCAACTCAACTTTTTTTAATTTCCGCGTAATGGAACAAAATAGGGGTTTTGGACCCACTACATTTAGCCGAAAACAATTTTTAAAGAAGATAAGTTTGATTGGTGCTGTTTGATTTCATTTGTAAAAATAAAGAAGAAGAAGAAGAAGAAAAGTCTCATGACGAGCACCAATTCCAAATGTTGAAAAGCCGAGTGCCATTACGGTCAGAGACTATAATACAAACGATACAAGCAAACAAGAAGTTACGTTATCACCCTATCTTTGTCTTTCCTTCTCTTTTCGCTCCACACCAACCGAGAAAAATAGTCGACCCTTAGATATTTTCCTTCTTGTCCGAGAGTTTTGAAGAGCTTGATAAATGCGGTTGATAAAAAAGTTAGGGCATGTGCAATGGGATAGAGTCTCTATCCCTTTTTTTATTAATAAAATATCAGGTTTTAGTAGTAGAAACCTAAGAGAGAGATTTTGTATTTTTGTATGATCCAATGGGAGAAATCCTAATGGTTTCTTAAAAATCTTTTTTTAAAAATCTAGTTTTTATTTTACTTTAAACTTCTGTTTTAAATAAAGTTTACATTATATTTCTTATTAAACTTCAATTTGACATAAAAACATAAATTTTACATTAAACTTCAGTTTTTATTTTACATTACAACATTAGAAGAAATACTAAAACATTACAACATTAGAACATTACACATAACGGTTACTTCTAAACCATCTCCAAAAAACATTAGAACATTACACATAACAAACACATCTAACACATAACAGACAATTCTAAAACTGAAACATAACAGACACAAACATGATTTTGAAAATCATACAAATAACAGACACCTAACAGACACATAACGGTTACAAACATGACCATGTAACAAGTTCCAAGTCACTGATTCTGCATCATTTCGGAGATTAGCTGCATCTTCAGAGCTTCTTCTTCTTCACAAAGGGGTCCCTTCGCAATAAGGGAATCAAGAAGAGCCATCTTTTGGGTTTCTTTTTTCAAAACCAGTTCTTCTCTTTTCATACCCCACATGTTGCTGAACACATTAACAGCCTCAACCACGTCGACCTTTTTGCCTTTAGCCTTTGTGGCTTTAACACCAGGAGGTCTGACCGTTCCCTGATTAGCTGCACCATTCTTGTTTCCATCTTCATTCCCCTCTGTATTTCCATCATCGGGTCTCCTCCTTTTACAGCTTGCATTGGTTTTAATGGCTGACAAATCACACCATTTCTGATCGTTCTTCAGCTCCTTCCAAGCGTGTTCCATACTGAATTTTTTCTTATGGATATTGAAGAAAATAGCATGAGCATTTTTGAGAATGTCATTCTCGTTTTGACCGCTAGTTTTTTCTCTTGTTGCAGCCTCATAAGCCCCACAGAATGTCATTAATCTTGTGCCATCTTTGTTTGCATTGTCCTGCCTCTCGGACTTCTCCTCCGTTTTGACTCGCTGCGAAATACAAAGCTATGCGACTCCAGAAAGTTCCATTTTTCTGTTCATTTGCTACAACCGGGTCCTTCGAGGTGTTTAACCACGCGCTGATGAGAAGGGTATCTTCCGCAGGGCTCCAAGGTCGTCTTATCACCTTGCTCGTCACTCCAACCTCTTCTACTTCATCGATGGAAGCTTGGGTACCAAAGGCATGGTTTTCGAATGAAGGGTTTAGATTTGGGTAAGGGTTTACACTCTCTTGTTGACTTTGTAAAAGATCAACAAAGTTTGAGGGGTTGTTAAATGGGAAGCGAGAAGACATAATGGTTGAATAGAAAGTGTTAACAACGAGAGAACAGAAAGATAGAATAGAAAGAGAGAACAGGTTGTGAGCTTTGAAAAAAATTTGACTAAGATGAATAGAAAGTGATGAGAACGAGAGAACAGAAAGAGAGAATAGAAAGAGAGAACAGGTTGTGAGCTTTGAAGACAATTTGACTAAGATGAAAGAAATGCGAAAAAGAGAAGAATTTATAAAAGCATGAAGAACCACAAACAAGAAGCATTCATCATTCTACGCCTACCTTAAACACAACCATATACAAGAAGCATTCATCACAAGGGTTTACACTTGACTAGACAGATATCTACCTTCTACATTAACTAATCCCTTATTCCATTTATTATCTAACACTACCTAAACCCATTTAATACAACTACCTAGTAAGTGATTGTACCTTACCTTTTCAGGATAGTGAAGATGGATAGCTTTATGCAGATGTGCTTCTTCTCTCTTCTTCCTGTCATTCCGCAACATTCACTCGTCGTGCATAGAACAAAGGCGACAATAAATAAGAGTTAGCAAACAGAACCTATACAAACAACAGTTAATGAACTACAACTACACAAACAAGACATGGATAAGACAATCACAGTTAATGAAGTTCAACTATAAAGAAAACAAACAAATATAAAGAACTTGACAAACTAATACCAACGTTCAGGTTAGCTTACAACCGGAACCATAAAGTACCAATGCTCAGAACTTATTTCTTAAACAAAACAAGCAGAGTTAATGAACGTGTCAAACTATAAACAAACTTAAACATATGCAAACTGATACAAAGATGGAAGACAAACTTAAACAAACCAAAACTGATCCAAATGTAATCGTGAGATTAACTGAAACACCAATGGACTTTTATGTCGAGCATGAATTCTCCTCTTGTCTATCTTGTCGAATTACAACTCAATACAAGAACAGACAAAGCAAAAACAAAATTCCACATTGAGGCGATATCAAAGCCAAAGTCGAAGACCATATCATCCCAGACTAAATCGGCATAGATATCCAATCACAACCTAAACCCGATAAATCTACACCTTTTTATTAAACCATTTCATCCCAAACATAGAATCTAAATACAAAAATCAAAACAATTTCAACTTGACGCTTTGCTTACCTTCGCCGACAGTTAAGCTTCAATTGATCCTTCATTCCGCCAAGCAGATGTTGCGAGGACATTGACGCCTCTGTCTGAAACAATACGCAACGAGAATCCAGATAAATCACCGACGAAGAATCCAGATAAATTGACGAACAATCGCCGACGGAGAGAACGAAGACTGCAAAAAAAACAAAGTTCTCGGGTAAAAAAAAGAGAATGCATTTTCTTCCATCTTATTTTTTTGGTTCCAATAACAACATGCCACGTGGTCGCCAAAAACGTCTCTCCAGTCTCTAATTTGGCGACGTCTCTCTTTTTTTTTTATGTGTTTTTGTTTTATTTAATTGCTAAAAAATGGCTGGAGACGCAACGTGTATACGCCGTTGCACATGGTCTTACCATTTACACTTTCAACAGTGTTCTAGTGTGTGTAATAATTTTCAAATGTAAAATGCTGAATATCTTCGTGAACACACTTTCACTTTCACTTTCCAAACCATTTAGCAATAGTAACTATCACCAGATATGTGAAGAAAAACTATAACGGGTTGAAATGCACATTTTTATTTGTTTTGTAAAATATAAATATTATAGATATGACTGGCTCGTTGAACAAAAAAAAAACAAGATATGACTGGCTCGAACAATTCTATAAGAAAAAACGTTTGATCGTTTTAACATGTTAGTTTTTTAGGTATAAATTCTAACAATAACAGGCTGATTCATTGAAATATAATTAACTCGTTATTCCTTTTTACTACGCAGTGACTAGAAGACGCATATAGAAGAAGAAAAAGCTAAGAGAGACATGTCGACAAGATAAAAAGTTAATATTGACGATTGAGTAATTTAATTGGCCGACAATGGCCCTCCAATTTTTTTTTGTTTTCTTTCTCTTTAAACATAGATTTTTCTTGGAAACAAAAAAGAGATTTATCCTAGACAAATAAACTATATATAGAAGAAAGAAAAATATGGACAATCCACTCGTGCTATACAGTACAAGCATTCGACAATAATTGAATGGAGACATTCCGCATTTTGATATGTATTTGTTCTCAAGAGATTTTGTGAAATTTTATTAAAATCAAATAGATATTGACAAAGAATCGAATAGAAGTGGGAGTCTTAGAGCATCGTTATCCCTGAACTTCTAAGGAGTTTCTTAAGTGTTTTTTATTATTAAACATGGATTAAGAAACCTGTTTAAGAAATCTCTTGTTTTTACTTGTACATTGGTAAAACTTTTAATGAGTTTCTTTAAATTTTTTTTTTAATAAAGATGAAAGAAAGAAGAAAGCGAAGAGGAAGAAACAAATGTATATAGGAGTAGAAACAACAAAAACGAAGCATAAAGAAAGAGAAGAGCCAACGTTTAGAAGTAGAAGAAGCAGAAAAAAATTGAAGAAGAAGCAGAGTAGACGAAATAGTGTGATCGGATGGTAAGAAATAAGAGAAGAAGAAGCAGAAACGAAGAAGAAGAAGCAGATGAGAAGCAGAAAGAAGAAGAAGCAGAAACGAAGAATAAGAAGCAGATGAGAAGCAGAAAGAAGAAAAAGCAGATCAAAAGTAGAAACGAAGAAGAAGAAGAAGCAGATGAGAAACATATGAGAAGCACCGGCATTAATTAGTGTGATAATGGGTTCATTCAAGAATGAACATTCAAGCACCGATTTGCACTTAATTATATCTTGTGCAAATATCATTTCCTGATATCAAACACAAACAATTCCAAACTCATCTATACTATTCGATCTCTAATCAAATTCAGGACAAAAATTGAACCAATATCAACAAATCAAATTATCTACAAGCTACTAATCCTCCATACTCTTGACTTAAACTAATCCAGCACAGAAAAAAAAATCAAAATCAAGCAATTAATAAAAACTAAGTTTAGACTTTGTTTACCATAGAATTCGTCTCGGAGATCCTCATCCTCCGATGCATCCACCGAGGCTTTGAGGGAACCAAGGAGGAGAGGAATCGAAGTGGAGAGGATTCGCCGTGAAGAGTCCAGAGGATACATGCAAGCCGCGGAGATGCCGGTGGAGAATCCAAAGAGACGTCGAAGAAGGAGAGAAATCTTTGATGCCTCCACCAAAGCTTTGATTTCAGGAAGACGTTTCGCAGGCTACGGAAATTTTATGGAGGAGAAGAGATTTGTTCTTCGTCGGAGTAGAAGAATCGTTGAAATCTTTCTGGTCGACGAATACGAGAATGCGAAGAGAAGAAAGAAAAATTTTCATTTCCTCTATTTTTTTTTTAACCAATGCAAATATGACACGTAGCAGCAAGAAACGGCTCCCTTTCATTCCCAAATAAAAGCCGATTTTTCTACTGTTCATTATTTTTTGTTTATTTTTTTTTAATTAATTGGATAGGAAACTGCGGTAGAAAACCGCGATAACGATGCTCTTAGAGTTTTAATGGGCTTAGACCACCTTTTTTTGGGTCAATGGGCCCTTTGTTAATTCGTAGTTTTTTTCAAGTAGCTCGTGATCAAAATATTTTCATGGCACATAAGTTAGAGGGGAATTTAGCAAAATGCCCGCAAAATAGAAGTGAAATTGTATAACCTATAAAGTTTAACTTGCCTAAACATATGTCTGATAGAAACTCCTATATGCCAATATTATAATCTCATACAGTCATACCCAACTTTGATGACTTTTGATTGAACCGTAACAGTGAGAGTAAAATTGAATTGACCCATCTCATACCCAAAGCTGACTTTAGTTTCAACATGTTTTGTTTTTTGTAAGTCAAAAATAATTTGTGCAAGTATTTATAAGTGGTCTGACTTTTCAACTTTACGTTTCCTCCAAGGCCTGAAACAAAAATAATTGATTATATTGTTTCTTTTGAAAAAGATAGTATAAATATGTTAATTGTTGTATGATTGGAGGCTCCTTTAAATTAGGGCCCAAGCGATAGCATCTTCGAATTGTCCAGGGCCGGCGTTAAAACGCAACCCTTCTCTTCCTCATAAAAACCTTACAAAAATTACAATTTTTTTTTCTTCTTCTTCTTCTTCTTCGCCGCTTTCTCACCCTCTCGATTAATTCAACACAAGTAAGCTTCTTCTTTTAGACCAATCGTTCATCGTCTTCAAGATTTTGTAAACCTAATTTTTCCTGCTCTGTTGTAAGATTCTTTACCTAGGATAGTTAGGGGATTGCAAATTGAAATTTACTGTCTTAAAAAACCTAACTTTTGGATTTTTGAAACCTAGTTTTGCAACCGTTGCGTTAAGTTGATGATCTCTGTGACCTTTAAAACCCTAATTTCGTCTGTTTCGTTTGATTCGCAACATCCCGTCTCTTCTTCATCGCCTTGTTGTTGACAAGATTTCATCTTTGCCTTATTCACGCAGGTGTACGTTAACACAGTTCCTAGCTTCCTCTACTCGATGGCGACTCGTAAGTTTTCTGCCGAGCTCTACTTATACTAATTCTGTTTACTCTTTTGGGATTTCGCTCTAATTGGCTTTAATGGGGGTAATATGCAGGTCTTCAGTTTGAGAACAACTGTGATGTTGGTGTCTTTTCCAAACTCACTAATGCATATTGCTTAGTCGCTATAGGAGGCTCCGAGAATTTTTACAGGTATCTTTTAAGTTTCAGGTTCTGCTTCTTCTATAGTTGTACATCAGTTTTAAAACTGCTGATGTTTTCGTTTTGATGTTTTGCAGTGCTTTTGAGGCGGAGTTAGCAGATGTTATCCCAATTGTTAAGACCTCTATTGGAGGAACAAGGATTATTGGGCGTCTCTGTGCTGGTTTGCTTTCTCAACACCTTTCGATTTTCTCACTTTTCTTATCTTCTTGATATATTTTACTAGCCTGATTAAAATGTGGTTTTCTTTCTCCGTATAGGAAACAAGAATGGGCTTCTTGTGCCTCATACAACTACTGACCAAGGTAAACCTTGACAGTTTTTACACTAGCCCGTTTCTCAGCATCATTGAATATTCCTGATAATGCATGACCCTATTGACATATATAGAGATAGTTTTTTGCTGAATATCTTTTATGCAACTTGGCAGAAGCATTTGTACTGCCTATCCCCGTTTATATTGTTGAGGAATCTTTAATGTTGTGTTATAGACCAGTCTTTTGTTCTTTTGACATTGAAATATTATGTATTGGTGCTGTGTTCTGTAATATGGTTGCAAGTCCTGAATCTTACTTTGTGTTCCTTTTTTGACAGAGCTTCAACACTTGAGGAACAGTCTACCTGATCAAGTTGTTGTCCAGAGAATCGAGGAACGTCTGTCTGCTCTTGGAAATTGCATTGCCTGCAATGACCATGTTGCTCTTGCTCACACTGATCTTGACAAGGTGAAGATTTATTTCCTACTGAATTTCTCTTCTGAAATTGCTTTGCAAAACGTATCTGCTGTTTTCCCAAATCCTTTTTTCATGGCTGGCAAATAATGGTGAAATAACATGTGTGGGAAATGTACGAAATTGAATTTTTTGTCAACATATGTGTGATGCAAAATATCATATGCTCCCTTACTGTTCCTGAATGTGTTTTGAATGATTTTATTCTTGGCTTGTTAATGGAGCTGTACATATACCATTTGGTTTGACGTTTGGTTCTTGTGTTGTTTTTCTGCATTGACAGGAAACTGAGGAAATTATAGCAGATGTTCTTGGTGTTGAAGTTTTCCGTCAGACGATTGCAGGCAACATTCTTGTGGGCAGTTACTGTGCCTTATCCAACAGAGGTGGAATGGTAAGAGAATACAAAAACATAACATCTCTTTCGAAAACCAATGGAATTGGCATTGGTCTCACTAGAATTTGAATTAACTTAATGTCTTGTCTCAAACAGGTCCATCCCCACACCTCAGTGGAAGACTTGGACGAACTGTCAACACTTCTTCAAGTCCCTCTCGTTGCAGGAACCGTGAACCGTGGTTGTGAAGTTATAGCTGCGGGTATGACCGTTAATGACTGGACGTCTTTCTGCGGTTCAGACACAACCGCAACAGAGCTCTCTGTTATAGACAGCATCTTCAAGCTAAGAGAAGCCCGACCCAGCTCTATTGTCGATGAGATGAGGAAGTCTTTGATCGATACCTATGTTTAAATATTGCTTGTTTGGATGAAACACACGACAGTATCCCCAAGCGTCAATGTCGAAAATTTTCATTATCTATTGTGGTCTTTGTAGGCTCTGAATATCTCTTTACTGTTTCAAGAATTAGTTTTTTTTTATTTTCTCGTGTTTTAAGTATTAACACTTTAACAGGTTAATGTTTTTTTGAATCTTTTTGAGTGATCCATAAAAGAATCTCTTGAGAAATTGAGGTCCACATTTGCTTCATATTCTAGTGGAAATGGATAACGGTTTTGTTCGGTACATATCCAATTTCTGCATTTTTTATGTATATACAGATAAAGTTGACACTTTTTTCGCTTAGCTAGTTTGACGATTGATTTGAAAGTTGGGACCTTTCGTTTGCAATCCCAAAACCCATTTCTTTCTCTCTCTCTACGATTACACGATTACAAATACAGATTCCAAATTTCATAGTTGAGTTGGTTTTGGATTTTCTTCGATGACAAATGGTAAATTTTCTGTTTCTCTCTGTTCTGATTTTTATTTTCTATTAGAGTTTGTTTGAACGTGAGCTTCTGTCTCTGTTTTTATTTGCCGGGGGGAAAAAGAAGAAGATGAAGGTGAATTGTCAGCTCGTTACCAGAACGCATTGGATGCGTTGTCGTCTTTAATCACAAAACGCAGCCGTTTTGTTAATAACAACCAATCTCACCGGTTCCGTTTGCTCTTCCATTATCTCAAGGTACCAAAACCACTTTCAAACTTTTTGTGTCATACCAAAATATTGAGCTTTTTTAGTAATAGACTCATGAATCTCCTAAGGTTCTTGAGCTCGAAGACGCAGTCTCACAAATGAAAATCATTCATGTGGCTGGAACTAAAGGAAAGGTACCACCTTTCAAAAGGCTCATGTCTATAGTTACTTGAGATTATACAATGAAGGTTTTAAAATTTGTGCATTCTTTTTTTGTAAGGGATCAACGTGCACATTTTCAGAATCTATTCTTCGTAATTACGGTCTTCGAACTGGTCTCTTCACATCTCCTCACTTACTTGATGTCAGAGAGAGATTCCGTCTGAACGGGTGAGTTTCTGAAAACATACACATCAAACACGATTTTTGATCGAAGGGTATCCTCAAAAAACACAATTTGCTTGCTTCAGCATTGAGATAAGCCAGGATAAATTTGTGGACTACTTCTGGTGTTGCTTCCATAAGCTCAAGGTTCGGCTTTTAGAACAGAACATTCATGTAAAGACATTTTGGGTTTTTTGTATTTCTCTCATTTCATCATACCATTACAAATTAAAGCGCAGGAGAAAACCAGCAATGAGATTCCAATGCCTACTTACTTCTGCTTTCTTGCATTGTTAGCTTTCAAGATTTTCACAACAGAACAGGTTCTGAAAAAACTCTTTTTCTTATTTGAAACTCATGTAATGTAGCCATATATGTTATTTGATGTTTACGCTGCAGGTAGATGTTGTTATACTAGAGGTTGGCTTAGGTGGGAGATTCGATGCGACTAATGTGGTAATGATATCAATTATTCTCAATGTCAGATCATAAGTTCTAGTTTACTAGGTTCTGTCTCTAACAAAGCATATCTTAATACAGGTCCAGAGACCTGTTGTATGTGGTATTTCTTCTCTTGGCTATGATCATATGGAGATTCTTGGTTAGTCTCTTTCACGCCAGGATGCAATGCTCGAAACAAAAAAATGGATCCAATGCGTTTTTAATCACTCGGTTTTATCCAGGACACACGCTTGCTGAAATCGCTGCAGAGAAAGCTGGTATCTTCAAGGTACAGACAAAAAAGCTTCTGCGTTATTCGAGTTTCGGTTTCCTAGTTAAGTCATTTGTCTCTGCTTCAGAGTGGAGTTCCGGCTTTTACAGTGCCTCAACCTAATGAAGCAATGCGTGTACTTAATGAGAAAGCTTCAAAATTGGAGGTAAAGGCTAAACAAAAATAACCAAATCATTGGCTAGATGTTGAGATGATATATAAAGTTTATTAATTTGTACTTTGTTGCAGGTGAATCTTCAGGTGGTGGAACCATTAAACAAGAGTTATAGACTCGGGCTACAAGGCGAACATCAATATCTAAACGCTAGTCTTGCTGTTGCGTTGTGCTCTACATTTCTTCAGAAGATTGGTTTTGAGGACAAGAATGATTTGATTCACACAGTAAGTTGAATCGAATCGAATCAAAACATTCTTGAGTTATGAAGTCTCTCTTATTCTTGTTTAGTAACGGTTTCTTCTTGAAAACAGAACGGATTACCTGAAAAGTTCATCACTGGATTAGCAAATGCTTATTTGATGGGACGTGCTATGATCGTGCCTGATTCAGAACTCCCTGAGGAGATTGTGTTTTACCTTGATGGAGCTCATAGTCCCGAAAGCATGGAAGCTTGCGCTACTTGGTTTACACAACAGATCAAACAAAACCAAGAAAGAAACAAGAAAAGAGCAGAGAAGGTAATTTTTATATAACATATATTGTGTCTGAAATCTCAAAAACTTGTGAAAGTTGTTCTAATAATGTTGGCATACATATGAATGCAGATACTCTTGTTCAATTGTATGTCAGTTCGTGATCCGAGTTTGCTTCTTCCGCGGTTAAGAAGTAAATGCGTTGATCAGGGTGTGTGTGTTTATTATGAGCTAAACTAATTAAGCTAATCATTGGAGGCTTCTACTAGAGATCTCATTTTAAGATGTTTTTCAAATGATGTTTAGGAGTTGAGTTCAAGAAAGCTATCTTTGTGCCAAACGTATCAGTGTACAACCAAGTGGGATTTTGTTCAAACGTTGACTCACGTGTCGAGACGATGACGTGGCAGTTCGGTCTTCAGAGGATTTGGGAGAATATGGCTCGAGGTGAAGCAAAATCTAATACAGGAAGTGATTCCAAAGGCAAAGAAGAAGAGAAGAGCTTCGTTTTCTCTTCACTTCCTTCGGCCGTTGACTGGCTCCGGGATAATGCTCGCCGGAGTAAACAAGTTCGTTTTCAGGTAAAGAAAAAAAAGTAGTTTGTTGCATCATTTTGTACTTAACTATAGTCTAATATTGGTCTTTAGCTTCTTCTTATAAGTTAACAAAAGTGGTATAATTGGGATTAATTTTTGTTGTTGTTATTTTGTGTGTTAGGTGTTGGTGACTGGTTCATTACATTTGGTGGGTGATCTCTTGAGATTAATCAGGAAATGAATGTGAATCTTTTCTTCTTCTTTTTTTTGTGTATTAAGGATGACATGATTTTAATTAGTTTGAAATTACCATCCATTCTATGCTTAGCCCTCCATACGTTGCTGATTTATAAAATACATACAAAGATTGATTTTAGCTCCTTGTAGGCTCAGGCTACATATGTCATCCGTGACAAAGTAATGTCATTATCCTCATCTGCCGCTAGACTAATTATCAATAATGAGATATTTTGTATGTTTTTTTTTCACTGTGATGTGATGATGATTATATCTCGACATGATTTAACAAAAAAAAGAAAGAAATATTTGGACATGTTTTATAAATAAAACACGTGGTAGTACCAACTCTCTCACAGATATCTTACATGTTACAACGTTTGCAAATTTGTACCACCAACAAAGATTTGTTTGGCCAAGCTTTTAAAGAGAGTGGATGCAACGCAACAAGTGTAACAAAAAACAAATCTGACCAAGAAAACAATAATAATAAAAAAAAAGACGTTAACAATCACGTGGCGGTAAAACGCTCGTCGCATCAAAACGCTGTCGTTCGGAGCGTTTAGTGTGTGCGCGTTGGAAACAAGCGTACACCAAGTCTTAAGCAGAGAGAAAGCACCGAATAGAAAGAAAATTGGAAAAGACGAGAGAGAAGAAGGCACACAAAAAGAAGAGATAGCCAAACTTTGAAGCAAACAAACCCAATTCAAACGAAATCAAAGATCATTGATAGATTCTTTTTTTCACCGGAATCGGAGCTACTTTTTTGTGTTGAGGAGAGGGGTATTGTTCGGATAATCTTCTCGGTGTGAAATTGAGAATTTTGATCGGGATTCGAGCGGCAAATGGTGATGCAGACGGAAGCTAGGGTTGGGGTGAGCTCAGGGCATGGCGTCGTCGGGAACAAATCGTCGTCTCACCGTCTAACGCAGGATCAGAGATCACATATCGAATCGGCGTCGCAGCTCTTGGCCGGAGGAATCGCCGGCGCTTTTAGCAAGACTTGCACTGCCCCTCTCTCTCGCCTCACCATTCTCTTCCAGGTTTCGTTTTTATCGAGAGAGCAACGCGAAAATTCGAGATTTCATTTTTGTTTGTTTCATAGAACTGGATTGTTGGGTTATTGAAGCGAAAGACCAATTAAGGATTTTTTCAATTGCAATTTCGGTGATCCTTTAATTCTAATTTTGTTCCAGACGAGAAAAATTAAGAATCCCTAGAAATGTAGAGCTATTTGTATTTCTCTTCTTCTTCTTCACGATTTAAGTGTGTTTGATACTATTGAAGTTACTATTGTTTTGATTATTATGCAGTGCTTGAGAGTTCTTTTTGTAAAGTTTACATCTGATGATCCCAAATCTTTATTAACCGCACATTTTCTACCTCGAAATGCATGAAAGGTAGTTTTTTTTTTTTTCTTTTTCTTGATTATACACTCTCTTGTGACTTAGGTGCAAGGCATGCACTCAAATGCGGCAGCTCTAAGAAAGCCGAGCATATTGCACGAGGCTTCACGGATATTGAATGAAGAAGGATTCAGGGCTTTTTGGAAAGGGAATCTTGTTACAATTGCTCACCGGCTTCCATATTCTTCTATCAATTTCTACACATATGAACACTACAAGAAGGTCTGAGATTTTTTTGTCTACAAGTTTGGCCATAGTGTGCCATTTTGCTCCCACATTTAGCCTATTTTCTGATTCGATCTTTCATTGCTTTCAGTTCATGTATATGGTTACTGGGATGGAAAATCACAGGGAGAGTATAAGCTCAAACCTTTTTATACATTTTGTAGCCGGTGGTTTGGCTGGAATCACAGCTGCTTCTGCCACTTATCCACTTGATCTTGTTAGAACTCGCCTTGCTGCTCAGGTTGGCTTTTTGAACATACGTATTTGATTTCATCCCTGTTGCGTTAGCTGGTCATTGATATTCATCGTTGTGTCAATGGCAGACAAAAGTCATCTACTACACGGGTATATGGCATACTATGCGCACTATCAGCACCGATGAAGGTATCTTGGGCCTCTACAAGGGACTCGGAACAACGCTTGTGGTATTTTCCACAAAAACAAAGATGCATCCATTATAAAATGTTGTATCCTTCCACTCTCCTGTTTTCGTGACTAAGGTTTCATTTTTTCTGATACAGGGTGTTGGGCCTAGTATCGCCATTAGCTTTTCTGTGTACGAATCATTGAGATCTTATTGGAGGTCAAATAGGTGATAAATCCATCTCTAAATTACAGTAGTCTGCAGTTTAACTTATCATATTTTTTCCTCCTAAAATTATTTGTCTGTTTGTTTTTCTTCTTTTTTTTTTTCCCCCAAGGCCCCATGATTCTCCTGTCATAGTCAGTCTAGCTTGTGGAAGTCTTTCAGGCATTGCATCTTCAACAGGTGAGTTATTTCTGCTCTTCTTTGACCTTTTTTTCTTTTCTTGTTTGCCATTGTAATATATCTTTCTGCTCTTAAATACCTGATTATATCAGCAATATCATCGATTTCAAATTGCTTGCAAGCATCACATCATTAGTCTCAAGTCAGAATTCGCTTTACACTATACTTAAACTTCCAACATGTGATTATAACACGTTATGTGTCATCTTAACTCCGCAGCTACGTTTCCATTGGATCTGGTGAGAAGAAGGAAGCAGCTAGAAGGAGTGGGTGGGCGAGCGGTTGTGTACAAGACAGGTCTGTTGGGGACATTGAAGCGTATTGTTAAGACAGAAGGAGTGAAAGGTTTGTACAGAGGAATTCTTCCAGAGTACTATAAAGTGGTTCCTGGTGTTGGGATCTGTTTCATGACCTACGAGACGCTCAAGCTTTACTTCCTGGATCTTTCTTCACAGCTATAACAAGTTTTATGCTATAGATTTGTAGGTCTATTTTTGGGGAGAGGCAAAAACTGTAAACCAAAAAGCGGGGATGGATAATTATTATACGAAATGTAGAATTATATATGTATTTTTGGTTATATCTAGTGATTTTAGATTATACGATATTATTAACATTGTACAGTTCTAGTTAATGGCCCTCATCATCAACAAAACAAACATGACTTTGTTGTAAAAAATTTTGTAAACGATATACTGGTTTTGATTAGAGAGGCAAAGTATATGAATTGATCTTGTTGCTGGGTTGTAACTCTAATATTGCAATGGATTGTGATTATTGGTTGATGAAACGAATGTATAATGAACACAAATATGAAAATTAGTTTTGCAGTAGAGCAGATGATACTTTGTATTCTTGCTAGTTCGATCGATTAAAGAGAGTGTTAAAAATTTGATCCATTATTATTGCATATGATTTTCTAAGATTGTTGTGATTAAAAGAAAAGAATGCAGAACAAAGGAAATTGCTAACGGGCCGTTGTGAATAAAGATAATGGGCTTGACTGTATCCCATCTCGGAGAGAAGAGAAAGTTTGGTAGTGGAAATTTTAGTATAAATAATCTGACTCACATCTCTTTAGAATGAGCCTATTTTTGGAGGGGACAGTTAGAAAAGAGTTTCTGACAAAACTGTCAAACATAATCCGAGGATTTTCGTCAGTTATAATACGTACAAAGGAAATCACGCCGTTCTTAACAAATCTGATAGCACATCATGGCGTTTGTATAATCCTAGTTTTTTTTTTTTTTCAATGTTTTTGATTTGGTAATTCTTGCTTTTTGTTGGACGAAAACCTCTGAATTTTCCCGGGAAATATATCGTCTCTTTGCCGAATTCCCCTGTTTCTGGATTTGCAACACATTTGAGATGAACTCTTCCTCTGTCGGGACATCGTTTCCTCTGGGTATTAAATTACATGAAGTTCCATCATCTGTGAGAATCTTTCTCTTTCTCTTTGTCCCTCTTATTTTTGCTTTTTTTTTTAATTCATGACGAGATCATGTATTCCAGACAGGAAGCTCATCTGTGTTTCTACCAGCTCTGATGAAGCAGAAGACTCGAGGAATCTCCTTTTCGTGGAATAATATCTCATCATCATTAACAGTAAACGATGAACTTCACGGGAACTGTTATTCAGTTACATCACTGATTGAGCTATTACGAGAGTCTGCAGATAAAAGGTGTTTGGAGAAAACGAAATCAGTTCATAGTATCATTAAAAAGTTTCAATTTTTGGAGAATTCTTTGACGGTGATGATGAATCAGATGGTTATTTCATATTCCAAATGCTCCGACTTCGGTTCTGCTCGTCAGGTGTTCGACGAAATTCCCCAGAAGAGTGTTTTCTCGTGGACTGTTTTAATGGTCGGAGCCACGGAGAACGGATTTTACCGTGATGGTATTGATTACTTTGTTCAGATGCTGCGATGCCATATTTTCCCTGATGAGTACGCTCTTTCTGCTGCAATGCAGGCATGTATTGGTGTAGATAGTGTTGATCTGGGTGAAATGGTTCATGCTCAAGTTATAATCCGGGGATTTTCGTCTCTTTCGTTTGTTAATACATCTTTGCTTAGCATGTATGCTAAGTTGGGGAGGATTTGGGATTCCTGTAAGGTGTTTAGTTCTATGGAAAATCGTAACGAAGTGTCATGGAATGCGATGATATCAGGGTTTGTGTCAAACGGTCTTTACACGGAAGCATACAATAGTTTCTTGAGAATGCTTGAGGAGGGAATCAGACCGAATGTATCTTGTTTTATTAGTGTCTCTAAAGCTATTGGACAGTTGGAAGATGCTGAGAAAGGTAGATACATAACTCGTATTGCTGAAGAAATGGGTGTACAGTCAAACATACACGTTGGAACAGCTTTGATTGATATGCTTGCAAAATGTGGGTGTGTAACTGAAGCGCGGTCAATTTTTGAGGCGAATTTCTCTGGATGCGGAGTGAATTTACCGTGGAACGCTATGATATCTGCTTATACGATTTCTAGGAACGGAGAAGAAGCAATGTTGCTGTTCCTTAGAATGTGTCAGAATAATGTCAAGCGAGATGTATACACATACTGCAGTACTTTGAATTCAATTGCTGACATGGGGTCTTTAGAATATGGAAAGCAAGTTCAGGGGATGATCTGGAAAACTGGCCAAGAATCGATCGATGTGAGTCTCTGCAATGCCCTAATGGATGCATACGCCAAATGTGGGGAACTTGAAGCAATGAGGAAGCTTTTTGACACTAGGGAGGAAGCAAACCAAATCTCATGGACAACGCTTGTGACAGCTTATTCTCAGTCTTCTGAATGGGAGGAAGCACTAAGCGTTTTCTCTCAGATGAGAGAAATGGGGTTTCAACCAAACCAGATCACATTCTCCGGTGTACTTGCCTCATGTGCTAGCCTCTGCTTTCTCGAGTATGGGCAGCAAGTCCATAGCTTAACGTACAAAACTGGCTTCGCTAGAGACAAATGTGTCGAGAGTGTTCTTATCGATATGTATGCAAAATGTGGTAGCGTAAGAGAAGCCATCAAGGTTTTTGAATCGCTGAAGAACCCTGATGTCATTTCATGGACCGCCATGATATCTGGATATGCCCAACACGGTATGGCCATGGAGGCCTTGGAAGTGTTTCGAAAAATGGAGCTTGTCTTTCCAAAACCTAATTCTGTTACATTTCTATGCCTTCTATTTGCTTGCAGCCACGGTGGACTAGTTGATGAAGGCTTGAGGTATCTTCATTTGATGGAGGAAAAATACGGATTGGTCCCGGAACTTGAACATTATGCTTGTGTGGTTGATATCCTAGGCCGCGTGGGACGTCTATCTGAAGCATGGAAATTTATAATGACGATGCCAATAGAAGCTGATGTGAAACTCTGGTTGACATTGCTTGGAGCATGTAGGGTTCATGGGAACATTCAGTTGGCAGAGATTGCTGCTCAAAAGGTTATCTCTTACAACCCAAAAGATTCAGCTGCTCTTGTTCTCTTGTCAAACACATATAGAGAAGCTGGGAATATTGAAGCTGAATTATATGTGAGAAATATGATGAACTCTCACGCAATGAGAAAAGAACCTGGACTGAGTTGGTTTTCTGTTGGAGGTAAAATCCACAAGTTTTGCTCCGGGGATCAACACCACCCTCAGAAGGATGATATATACAAAACACTGAATGACTTGATGGAGAAAGTAAAGGCTAAAAAAGGTTGACTTTGTGCCTATAACGTACACCACAAGATTAATTTCATGATACCTTGCTCAAAACCACCAGGGCCTCCTTCAAGAGCAAAACCAAAGAGAGAGACTCATGGAGATTTCAGGAATAGAAAGACTCATATATGTTGCTCCACATACCGAGAAAGGCTATCAAGATACAACTTCAAGGACAATATACATTCAAGGAACTGTGTTACTTTCAAGCCATTCAGGGATACTCATGAAGAAGATGTTCTACAATTACTCCAAAAAGATTGAAGATTTTGAAACTTATGTATTTTTAATATAAATTTATTATGCCAACATTCTTTGTTTTTGTGTGTGTGTGTCTAGAATGACAGTTCAAATTCGCCAATGCTGAAACACTAAAACTTAGCTAATATTACTATTTTGTAATTTTAAGTAATATACTTAGTTATTGTCCAGAAGTGGTCAAAAGAAAGCATCCGTGAAGAGGTGTTTACGTGGAAAGTAAATGACCAAAATATTTTACAAAGTGTCACTTACAATATTAAGATGAAGAAACTCAAGTCAAATGTAATGTCAACCAAGAATAAGTGATCCGAATTTCGAAACGGTAATTTGGTCCAAGTTTCGAACAATAGGTGCAGAGAGAATATATGTTGTTTAGCGATATCTTTTTTTTTTTTTTTTTTTTTGTTTAGCTATATCTTCTTTATCTCCTTCTTAACATGTGGCTATGCTTCTCTCTCCAACATTCTTCATGCATGTCAATATATGGATATTTGTGCGGCTGTGCCCTTCTCATGAACAGTCATCTTGTTATATAAGATATACTCATCAGTATTCTTTTCTATTGAAATCTGAAAATATGGTATCATTTTTCTTTTTGTGTCGCGTTGATTCCACAAATTGCAAAGAAAAAATAATTGTTCTTTTTTTTCGATATGAACCACAATTTGCAAGTTGCGAGACACCAACAGAGTCAACCCTTTGTTATTGATGAATCTTATATCACACTACAGCGAATTAAACTTGACATTATCGATCTTATGGTCCTTCATATATATACTTATATTCCCCAACACAATAAATTTTTATTGTCTTCTGTTGCGTTCATCATATTAACGGTAGATTCAGTGGCGGAGCAAGCTTGGAGAGAGGGTCAAGTGACCCCTACAAATCAATAAAATTTTGTTTGCAAGCTTACTTCAAGTGTTGTTGTTGTGGTGAATTGGTCAAATTTTCTTTTTGTTGTTCTCTATATACTGAGTCCAATTTTTTTTGACCCCCATAATACCTATCTCTAGCTCCGCAGATTGGTATAAATGTCAACCCACTAGTTCTTTTCAAACTTCCATCGAAACATTTTTTCAATATACGTTTTGTTTCTTTGCTTTTATTTGTTTTCTGTCAAAACGTCATTTGATTTTTTCTGTTGCTTCTTTTGTAAGAAACGTTTATGGTTTCTTTTATTTTTCCTATAATTAAGACACCAATTTTCTTATATATTTCAATATTTTTGCCAATCAACTAAACATTTAACTGAGACCATTTAAAAATTATATTGAATACATGATCAGACATGCATGAATGTGATAGAAACTGTCAGCTTAATCATATTATGTTTCGATTGCATGGCGTCATTCTAATGAAATTGTATTGGCTAAAGAAAACTATTCCGTACGTTAATCAGTCACTAGACGACCGTTTAATAATTTTGACAATTTTTGCAGTCGATTTATGACTTCACAACGAGCAAATTAAATGTATGCTCTCGTATGGATTTTTTTTCTTTCTAATATTAAGGAATTTATTAACTCCTTTTAGAACATAACTATATATAATGTTCTAGAACAAAAAGTTATTTTACGAATACTTTGGAAAGCATTTTGCATATTATTTGCCTCGTAATTCTTTATTGACTTTAGTGTGGGCACTACATTAGGTCACTCATGGGAATGATCTTCAAGATTCTACGTTAATTGATACGACAACTACTTTTGGTAGCGTACGTACCGCGTAACCTTTTGAAGAAATTTATCATTTTCATATTATAAGGAAATTGAATCTAAAATTAGTTAGATTTACAAAAATACCCTACCAAATTGGAAACCGAAAATGAACAGTATAGATCCTTAATCAGCACTGTCCTTAATTACGGTTGGGGTATTGCTTGGAATTCCTTGCTAGTCTAAATATAGACTGGCCTCTTTCATAATCTTAACCTCTATGTCGATAGATATAAATTTTGGGACTGGCCATACACCTAACAAAGCACATACATAAATATATACTGATTTACACAGTTGATAATTTAATTAATCCATTATTTTCTTACGATGATCTACACTATCTCTATATTAGTTTACTATCGATAGCTCACAAAATAGCTCAAAAATTAGTGTAGAAAAGTCTTGTGATTTTTATTTAATTAGTATTATATTCATCTCTGTATCTCAAATCGTGTAACTTCTTTTACCAAAAAAAAAAAAAAAAATCGTGTAACTTCAATGATGCCCATTTAAGGGGAAGAATTTATATAAAGTACAAGTTATATAAAAAATTAGGCTCCACAATACTTTATCTTCTACTTATATAATAAAAACCAAAATTATCATTAATTTTGTAATATAATTTTAATATTCTTGTTCTTATTCGTCTTTTAATATTTTACTAAAACATATCTATTCATTCTCAATTTCTCATATGACAGATATAACACAAAGAAAATGACGAGTAAATAGATTTAAAATAGGCTACAAATAATCTAAAAGACCGATCACATGTAGTCAAAGTTTTCAACTATAAATATGCAGAGACGACAGTTAATAACAGTCTCACAAAACAACTGCAAATCTTCACGTGTCTTCTCTTTTGTTTCATCACATGATCTCTCCTTTCTTCGCCTCTCTCTGCAAATCTAATCCTTTCTCTTACAATTCATCTTCCCCCAAAAAGACCCTTTAAATTTTATATACATATACATATCCACCTACACAACGTTGGCAATGGACAAGAAGAAGACTGTTGCTGCTTCATCCTCTTCTTCCTCGTCTTTCGACCATATATTTGGTCCAAGAGCCTCTTCATTGTCTTCTTCATCAACCAGTGGATTGTTCAAATCTATCTTCCCACCACCCTCTGCGGTACGTCATCTCCATATTTTTACACCAGAAGAATACGTAAATCATTCTTAACGTACATATGCATGTTACATATATGTTTACGAGCTCTAGATTAATATTAATAATTATGCTGATTTACTCTCTAATTTTTTCTTGGTGTGAACTAAAAGGGGATGTTGGGGAGGCAAGTGGGCTTCACAAGTGAAGGTGGACAACTGAAGTATCAATCTGCAAGTAATTAATCTTTCATGAGTTCTTTTTCGTAGAAGTGGGATATGTTTATTTTGGCTTAAGAAACTTCAAATCCATGTCATGGACTCTAAATAAATGATGGTTGGTTAATGGTTACTGTAAACGATTCAAATTGTAAATATCCATTTTTCATATGGTTTATAGATTATTCAGTATTTTGAGGTCTAGAATCCTCTGGTTATTAAAAAAACAAATATGGAGTATAGAATTCTCGGAAAATTAAAGAAAAATTTATGAATAATGCGTCAAAATTTAGAGTGTGACTTGTCTACTTAGTGTTCTACTGATTCCAAAATGTAGTCTTTTAATGTCATTTCGAAAAAATTATCAACGATTGGCGGGTTAATATGTAGATGAAAGAGGTGAAAGAAGCAACAAAAAGGAGAAAAAGAGTTACCATTATAATGAGGAAACAGAACCACCCTGCCACTTGAGCTCATCCATTTACTATGGAGGCCAAGAGAAATATTCCTCCACAACGACTACCACCAAAGATACTGTAAGTCGTAGTCATATACATAACACCTACGTGACAAAACTCATATTCTTTACACGTATGTATATATAGTCTATATTTGTATATGTATTTATTTAAAGATTTTATTTTTCTCCTTTAATTTACTTTGAATTTATATATACAGTACACGAAAGATGGAGAGGAAGGCGATTCCAAAAGCGCATCAAGAGGAAACTGGTGGGAAGGTATATATATCGCATGTTTTCCTATCCAATTCTAAAGATTTACTTATAACAATTTGAAAGGCTCGTTTTACATCCGATCATTTTCTACGATTTGTTACATTATTACTAATTATGATAACAAAAATTTATATTTGGTGCATGCAGGGTCGCTATATTACTAACATGCACTGCATGTCGTGCAATCCTGATTTTGAGCAACTGCTAAGGTACTTTGATTAAATAAAATAGATGCTCCAGAAGGATTACGGAAAATCTCATGCTTTTTTCGTAATTTCTTTATCTAAAGACCAAAAAAAAAAGATAGTGGATAAAAATTTCAGCTGAATTATCAAATATATATATACCTCAAATTACTTATTAATTATTATTAGATCACACAACATATTAATATTTTATTATTTTTAATTTTCTAGGTCTCACAAATTATTCTGATCTACATAATCTCTGATATAGTCTTTGTGACCATTTTACAGGGAATTAAGAGACAATCTTAATATGAAAGTACTACTATATACAAGCTATATAAAGATCCTTTCTAAATTAAAGAGTGTACGTAGTATTTGTATAAAAGAAGAGTAACTTGTTCTTGACATGTTGATTTGTTCTGTTCACGAAAAACGCAACACTAAGACAAGCCTCTTGGATGATATTATTGTTTGTTCTAATAGTGTGTCTATGTGGTGTGATGCGATGTTATATGATGCATTTGGTGCTATATGTATGATTGTAATATAACTTTATATTTAGATCATAATGAATAAGCATATTTATTACTAGTATAAAATAGCATAAGCTCATTGTATCTTAATTAATATCTTATGTTCCGTGTAATGAACAAATAAATCAAAAGAGACGAAAAAAACTTCCCGTTCAGTCCCACCCGAAATATATCAGTTGCAAACTAGGAATTTGATGATCAAATTCTCTATATCAAATTTAAAGAACTAAACAATCAATGGATCAAAATCCTATAAAGGAGCTCATCTCGTATGCCTTTCCTTCAAATGAGCTCATTTCGTAAAAGAATTTATAGCATTTATTTTTATTTTTATGTCAACAAATTACATAAAATTGTTTTACGTTTATGATTAAATTGATAGGCTGGAAAGATATAGTGAATCGTAGGTTTCAAAGGTAAATCGTGAATGCTCTTCTGCCGTTTCCTCCTAACATCGCTGATCCAGTCTATTCGCCATCATATTTACTGTAATTTCTACTCATCGTTGTATCTCTCCATTAACACGTCTACGAACATCTAGGCGCATATCCATCTCGCTGGATTTAAAAATTGTCACAAGTTAACACGTCTACGTATACAAGATTAATAAGTTAAGATGAATCAAAAGGTTTGGGTAGATTTTATTCAATTTACTAATAGATTAGTCGTTATGGATCAGAGTGAACTGTTAAATAAACAGTAGCTCGCCTTGAACGTGTTTATTTTACAATTCGTAAAATTCGCTATATATGCCACGTTAAGTTTTCTGATCTCTTATCTTAGACTAGGTAGCATATAAGATTACTACAATTAATTAATTTACTTTTGTTCGACAGCGCACTAGTTTTTGGAGGAATCATTGTGATCAATTAATTGGATCAACTTCTTGAAGTAGATTATTGTTTTTCCCCATATCGAATTCCTGAATGTTGAAATTCGTAAATGTGACTGACTTAACAAGTAAATTTTAGTAACATCCTTCTCTCCTTATGTATTACTAATTTTCAAATAAAATCACAATATTTTAGAATACATACACATATTAGACGCGCACGCAAACAATAAATGAAATGAAATGAAATGAAATTTGAGTTTGTTAACGTTCATGCTTAACTTTACAATGTGGAAATAATATTTTGCTATATATATTTTTTACATCAACATAAGAAAAAACGGCATGGAGAACAAGATCTCGCAAGACCACCCTTGAATTCAAATCGGTGAAACAACAAAAAAGATCGTACTTAAATATTAAAAAGTGCAAGCATGCCACTAAATTTTAGTAACTCGTCTCCGATCCGTGGAAATGTTAGGTGATTCATCAAGGTCGGTCGATCAATGGCCATCATCACCATGTCATACAGTATGTCCTGAATGCTGGATTAAGAATATGCTTATCTGAGAGGTACATTGCATTGCCTATATTAGAGGGCTTCATATCAATCTCAGAATGATATTTTCTTAAATATTTACATTTACTTTTTCCTAAACTGTGGTTTTTTTATTTATTTATCGCAGTTGGAACGTTTATCAATGATTTCTCGATCGTCCTAAAAATTATAATTTTCTTAAAACTTTTATTTTCAAATATCAAAAATCAAGGATGCAGAGCAAGCAATAATCACTTGAGCAATGCTAACAAAAAAATAATATATATATATATATATATATATACGTTAAATTTCCAATCTAAACGCAAAACAAAACGCATCTTGCTTCCGCTATCGAGTTAATTAAAAGAAAAGTACAAATAATCAGTTTAAGCTGGATGTTATACGATCTCGTGACAAGTGCTATAACATAAATGTTTCCATTATTTTATAAGCTTTAGTAGGTAAGATTCCATTATTTTAGTAGTTCTCTAGTTTAGCATGCATGTATTTTTCCACTATAAATACCCTAGCAACGTTTGCCTTAAGAGCTCACCACACCAAACACACAGCAAAAGAAAGAATAACAAAAAGAGAGATAGAGAAAGAGAAATAGTTTTCACAAGAAAGCAAATACCACACGATGAAACCAGCTGCAACCACAAACTTGGTGATCTTCTTGCTGCTCACGGTCGTCGTCACAGCATCTGCTCTTGGGATCAACGAAGCCGTGATGGATGCCAAAGGGAGACCAGTTAAGCCCAACAAACCGTATTTCATCCACCCGGCCGGTCAACCAGAAGTATGGATCTCTCGTCACCAGCGATTCCTCGACATTCAATGTCCACAAGTGGCCGTATTGTCGGATAGACATAGACCTTTGTCTGTTGTATTCTTGTTGCAGTCAGGAGCAGACTACGTTCCCTTGTCCACCAACTTAAGCATTCGCTACGACGCATACGATCATTGCCCTGAGTCAGGGATCTGGAGAGTTGACAAAAGCTCACCTTTCCCAACACCTGACATAACTGCGGCCGGTTCTGTCTTTGCACCTGACAGCACGTTCACGATCCAGAAAGACAACGATGTCTACAAGTTTGTTTACGAGTCTAGCAGTGTCGGTGTATTCACGGAACCAACCAGTCTTATAGAGCACCTTGTTCTCAACCCAAATTCCCTTGACGTCATCTTTGTGCCGAAGGGTGATGAGCCAGGATATAAGGAGGCTTCATCTTACTTGAAGACTACGGTTCCTTTTATCTACTGAGATTAAGTCACTTATCTTAGCACGATCGTTCGCTAGCTAGCTCCCACTTTAGGGACTTGTCTTTGTATAATGGAATAATGGTTGAATCAATACCTGCTAGCTTTTCGATCTTATGGATGTAATGTTACCTTAAATCAAATAAAACTTGTTCTGCTTCTACTTCCATCTATATTAGTTTTCAATCATAAGATTTTAACTAACTTCAATATTATACAACAAAACAATCTTTCTTGAGGACACATAACATATTAGTGACAGGGAGTTAAAATTGCAATCTGGACAACTCAAGACCTTCAAAATGTGCTGATTGAAAATCAACTAGCTTAATGTTCTTACTAAACCCTTGTTTACTTCTCAGCTTCGACATCCTATAAGCAAGATGGGTCTCATCAATATACTATGTTTAATCTTGAAGATGAATATTGGAGCAAGAATAACTTGGTTCAGTGTTGGCTGAGTGTTTAACCGAATTTGTTAGTGGTGAAAAAGCCAATTACAGCTGATTAAGTTTATGAGCTAAGTATTAAGTTCCTCTGTTTTTGTGTATGTGTGTGTGTGTTCTGTTTCAGTTAAGAGAATTGAGAAATTTGAAATTCTATCCCACAATAGACTTGATTGAGTGGCTGAGAGTAGCAACATACACTGTCCTAAGTAACCATTCAGAGTCATAATATATGTTGGAACATAACATATATGGTTCTACAAGAGACAATGAAGAATGAATTAGAATACAAACCAGGACAACAACATAAAGTGGATTGTGATACAGACAAGCGATTTGCTTTTATATATAAAAGAAACACGAGATAACAAAAAGAATCAACTAAGCTTAACTCAATAACATAACATAATAATAATAAAAATATGATTCTTTAAATTCAACCCCGGAGATAATTAGCCAATGCTTTCTTTGAACCAAACCCACAACGTTCCCTAATGTTCCTCCTTGAGAGAAACGGAGCTCTCTCTCCTCCTCCATTAATGGGGCTTGTCAATGGCATTGGCGAATAACTTGGAGTTGATGCAGAGAAAGATGGAGTTCTGTACGGAGTTGACGTGCCTGAGAATGACACAGAGAACAATGATGGAGCCGAAAGTCTCTTCCTTAGAGAGCCTGAGCCACCCAATGCTTCTTCTTTAGACAACAATTTCAGCTTGTCTGAGGAAGAATCATCATGATCATCTTTGCTGATGTCATCCATGTACAACACTTCCTCTATGCGTACACCAATGCTATAAGCCAAACTCTCTAATACCCTTGAGTAGCTCTCAAGTATAGACTTTCCTACATCCTGCAAAAAGTTCAATACTTAAATGTTTTGAAAGATTTGATATTGTCATGTTTAAGTAAGATTTGAAAAGGTAATGAAGAAAAAACCTTGTTGAATTGGATCTTGCTTGTGTCCAAAGCTGTTTGTCTAAGTCCCGGGAAACGTTGCTTGAGGCGGATCAATAGGCTTTCTGCTCTTCCGGCAAATATCTCCCTCTTGTCACCATCGTTTTGATTCATCATCATCTCTTTCACTATCATCCCCCATGAGGGTCTTGCACCTGTGGATCGATACAGAGAAATCAAATGCCTTGAGTGAGCTCTTCTCCTCCAAATGTACATTGATGCTTCTACTCGGTTTGCCATTTCCACAACCGCATGTTCAGATGAAAGATCTATTGATTCGAGCAAGTAATCCGCTGAGAAGTTATCCGATGTGATGTTTCTGTAAAGAAAATCTCCAAGGCATGATCTCCCGTTCTGCGAGATTAAAACAGTTTTAGATAGAAGAAATTGTGATTCAACAACTCAAAAATTTGTCTTTTTTTATTTTTTAAAAATTACCTTTGGAAGTGCTTCAAGGTATGGTTGTGGAACTTCCATTTCAGCCAAAGCAATGCTGTTTATTGACATACAAGCTTTCAAGATTTGGTTTGTGAAATCTCGAGTGTGATCAAGTTTCTTCCTAGCTTGCTCGGTAAGTCCATCGGATGGCACACGTGGCAGAGGAAGCCACCATTTGTCTCCATCTTCACGGAAAGAGTTGGACCGTGCAGATTCCGCAGCTACAATCCCTTGATCAACGTACCAGAACTCTGTTTCTCCAAAACTATCTAATATTTCCTGTGTGTACATCATGAGAGTGAAACTCAGTTTAAGAAATCACAGATTCTCATGAGATCAACAAGGAGAAAGGGTCAGGTTCTTACAATAAGCATATTGTCTAGCTTCCGAAGAGCAGGAAGGCAAGTGAACAGATCTGATCTTGGTCTGCAATTCATCACCTTAACCCACCAAATCATGAATGAAACAGAACACAATTACTCAGTGACAATCATCCACAATCTACATGACTTATTCTCACTAAAGTTGTAGACTTTTGAAATTGAATTAAATACCTCAATCTTGCTTCCATTGGGGAAACTCTGAAAAGAAGGTACCAATTCAACAATGTGGTCACTAACAGAAAGAAGAACTTCGATTTCGCTTCTCCACATGGTTTTTTTCTCACTAGGTAATGGCTCTAGCCTCCATTGTTGCCCCAGAATCGCAGCTTTCATCAAAATAAAAGTAAAAAAACTCAGAATCATAAATCAATTAAATATCACTTAGAGAACAAGCTAAAGTATGTAAATTTTTGTTTTTATAATACCATAGAGATTGGTAATGGCGTTTGAGATAGCCAAAGCAGGACAAACACCTTCACCAGAACCTGACATGTCTTCACCAAGCAGCAATTTCGCCATTCTCTCTTTCAACAACTCAACTTCTACAAAAAAGAAATTGTCAATATTCCTTCGTGTTTAGGGCGTTTCTTATAAAACAGAGAGATTGATTTCCACAAACCTGAAGTCTCTGTTCCGATTCTCTTAAACCCAAAATTGTCCATTTTTGTCGGCGTTTTCTTCTTCATCTTACCGGAACTCTTCCTCCACGAGCCTTGCCCTAACGGCCATCCAAGGAGCTGTGACTTCGTCGGAGGAGATGACGGCGAAGAGACAGATCTCTCAGCCACTGACGACCTACCGGAGCTCGATCCAGCACCGCAACTTGAGCTGCTAAGGCTCGACTCGGTCGTAGACTCGGTGACCGAGTCAATTAAACCAACGGTTCGTTTACTCTCACCATATCGTCTCGATCCCTCAAACGCAATACAGCTATTCTCCATTTCGCTAAAAAAGAGGGAATTTTTTTAGATACCCAGAAAAATAAGGAAGGAAAGATCACAAAGAAGAAGAAGAAGAAGAAGAAGAAGAAGAAGAAGAAGAAGAAGAAGAAGAAGAAGAAGAAGAAGAAGAAGAAGAAGAAGAAGAAGAAGAAGAAGAAGAAGAAGAAGAAGAAGAAGAGTGGTAGTTGTTGTGTTCCATGAATTCGAGAACAAAAAAAAATCCTTCTTTTTCTTCTTCTGATTATTCCAATTGTTTGTGTTGTTTTTTGTTCTGTCTTAATGTTTTTGAATTTTGCAAAAGGTCACATGCAAATCTTAACGTCTCTCTGCGATTTTTTATATATATATTTCTTTTTATTTTTTATTCGAAGTAGCCGTTATACCTGCCACGTCAGATTTCGGACAAAAAGAGTTCCGTGATCTTCCCGCAGTCTTTTGTCCAAAACTTAAACCAAAACTTCTTTCGAATCTCTACAATTTCATTGGTTTGGGTTATTAATTATTGGGTTATACGGAATGTTTCCGTTAAAACTCCGTGTTTTACATTACTTTAATTTGATTCATCACTTTATCCAAGCTTCTAGCCAAAATTTCTACAAGCAGTGCCGTGCGAAAGTTTATAGGAACTTAAGGCGAACTAAAAAAATAGGGCCTTTTTCATTTAAAAAAAAAGTTTTCTAACCAAAAAATATAATATAATTTTAAAATCATATAAAATATTCAAAAATAAAATTTTAATCTAAAAAAACTAATTAAGACATAATCTTTCTTCCTTTTTTTTCAATAAACTTTTTCACCAAACTCTCATAATCGAGGTCCTTAACTAGTTTTCTTTCTATAGATATGATAGATAGGCCATTCAATCTTTTTTGTGACATAGTTGATCGCAACTAAGACTTTATCAACTTCAACTTTGAAAAACTTCTTTTAACCAAGGCAACTGAAACTGGAATCGTCAGCAATATCTGATAAGCAATCTATGATTTTTTTTTTCTCTTGGGCTTTAGGGCTTTGATCTTATTTTAGGATGTTATAAAGCCGATAATCTAAACAAATCTTAATCAATTTCCTAAAACTATTGGGAGAATGTAATCTTAATCTATTTCCTATATTTATTCCTTTTTTTCTCTCTTATAAACAAAAATAAGAAAAAAATCTTATGTAAAAAAAGACCTCATGCCAACCATAAACCACTTAACCACCTCTTAAGAAAATGGGGGCCCTGAAAAATTAACATATTTTGGGGGCTTGAGGCGAAAGCCTTTTTCACTACATGGTAAACACGGCTCTGTCTACAAGATAAAATAAATTTATCACTTTGATAGAGATTTCAATGTTTTCTATGAGAGGATTAATGTGGTTATACTTTAGAGCTATCGTGAATACTTTATGTTTGACATGTAATAAATTTAAAATCTACAAAGTTCAGCTAATGGAGATAGTTTTTCGGTGCGTATGTTCTCTTTTAGGTATATATTGAATGAAATAATGATATAATGGTTGGATGTGGCCATCCCGTTTGCTTAGACCATCATATTCATGTCTTGGTTCATCGAAAAAAAACGTGGTTTCTTGTTAGTCAATCTTTAGATCGTCTAAAATAAGTATAACACTGACGTAAAAAAATAAAAATTGTTCTTGTTATTTGGATGGAGTCCAATATTGATCCATCTAGAATTTAATATACATGTATATAACAAATCCAGTCATATATAAATCGTAGTTCAATAGTTCTAAAAACCTACAAAATGTGCGAAAGTGAGACTGAGACGGGTCTCTTTAAGCCTCATGTAAGCTCGATTTCTTATTGTAGGACACTTCGTAACCCTTCCTTCTTTTTTTTTCAAAGAAAAAAATTTGACATGTCACTCTGTGCTGACAAGATTGGATCAGAATTATATTACCAAATCTACAAATCCAAATGGTACTGGAACTTATTCGATCGGTCAAAAAAAAAAAAAAGAGACCTATAAACTATATATACACACAAATTCGTCGGTTAATCTTTAGAGTAGTCAAACTTCATATTTAGGTATACTCATATATAATAATGTCGTAAAGAATGTATTTGGGAGGTGGGAAAGTAATATCTCTTGAAATCACACAATGTTTTCTTGGATGATATCTCTCAAAATCCTCTATATATGAAGTTTGACTAGTATATAATAATATAGTGCCTTCATATATTTATAGATATATATATAGTTATATACTTATATATACTAGTCAAACTTCATATATAGGTATACTCATATGTACAACCTATACATACTAACACTACCACCATAAAATTAAATATCCATTCAACGTTACATGAATAATTAGGAAAAGAAGCTACCGTACATTTTGTTCACGTCTATATAAATATATATGTATCTTAAGTTGTATCTAACAATCCACTCCGCATAATTTTACATAACAATATAATGGCTCTCTCCAATGATCCTCATTGCATATTGATGTTTATGATCTCATTATTTACTCTTGTTCTTTTTGCATCAGCGTTAGATATTGTGTCAATAAATGATGTGGCGGAAGCACCAACATCTGCAGGATCGGGCGGCCACGACGGCTTTTTACCTCTAGCAGGAAAGCATGTGGTGATCCACAACGTTGTAGAGAACGGGGAGACTGTGAACGTACATTGCAAATCTAGCGAGGATGATTTGGGATTGATCCATATCCCTTGGAATCATACATGGGGTTTCAGATTTCATGTTAACTTTTGGAAAACTACGAGATTCCGTTGCCATTTTACGTGGGGATATGGAGGTGGATCTCATTATTTTGATATATTTAAAGTATCAAGAGACGATACGCCATCTGGAAGTACTCCAGTCTGTAAAGAATGTATTTGGGAGGTGGGAAGTTACTCCACTTCACTCAAGCCTATGTGTCGTATAAATCGCGATGGGTCACTTCCTTACTGTTTCGACTGGGACGATAAATGATCGTCTTTGAGAAAAAAGAAAAAAAAAATAAAGATTTATTGTCATAGTTACTATATCTCATTTAATAATTAATGTTACCATCAAAATTGATTGAATAAAAAGAGGATTTTAATTAAGAGATATATAGATGAACCCATAAAAACCTCACTCTCGGAGATGGGTTTGATTTCGATTTTTTAAGACTATTTTTAAGTCAAGTTGGATTTTTAACCCTGGATTTAGACTACTTGCGGTTCTCCAAATTAAACGCGTTTTACCGGTTACTTAAACAGAAATCACCATATTAATTGGATATGCAGAAATTGTAAGAGTGAGATAGTGACACGCATACGCTCCATAGGGTTGGTTATAGAGAGAAGCTAAAATACTTAGTAAATGAAACTGTTGACACGTTGTGAGAATTCAGGCTTGTAACAAGTCTGAAAAGTGAAGAGGACTCGCAAATGAACTCAAAGGCATGATATACATGATATAAATGTTTTATGCTCTGCCTTTGTATCTATCAGCTTTCATCATATTTCTCGTGTAAGCAATGTTCATACAATTTCCGTGTGTCCAACAAAATATCTTAGTTCAATTTCTGGTGGGGGGGGGGGGGGATACAATCTTTTCTATTACCACAATTATTCACTACAACTTTGTTTCAATTAATCAAAACAAACCAACCAAACAAAATTACAGATAATTTGCAACCCCATAGATTCCAAAACTACAGAAAACACCCTAAAAGTACTCTCAGCACTATGTTGTTGCACTACAACACACCATTTGAATTCCCATTGTGAACTTAAACTACAACGACATATAACCATTTTAAACCAAAGAAGAGCAGATGAAAAATCTTCCCAAGGCCAAAAAATATTCTTATTAAAACCGCTGCTTTTGTTATTCTCCTAATTAAAAACAACAACTAACAACAATAACCAACTCACCACCCAACACAATTATTCTTTACTATAACCCTTAACCATCACAATATCAACTATAAGTCTAACCCAAACTAACTACGACCATTTCCGAAAATTTTGTTTCTCTCTTCTTTCCAAATTCTTGAATCCTAGACAACTTAATTTTGAGCTCAGTACATCCATTCTTGTGGAAGATGATGTCTTTCTTCCTTGAGACAGCCACCAGCTACTGCAAACAAAAGGATAGCTTCAAATGTCTGTTTTTTTCCTAGATTAGTAATGAATATTGAGAATGTTTGAACAAGTACCGATTTTGCTGCTTCCTGTAGATTGTAAAGACGATTGAGACCGACCGGAGAACTCTTTAATCTTAGGCTTTTGTTGGTGAACAACCTTTGACCGAAACTTAACCGATCCACCTCCTGAAATCAATCCAGATTTCAGTTTAGATTCAAAAATTAAGCGAAAATTCTCAAAATTCCTACTGAGAATTAAGGTGTAAAGTTACCTGATTTCTTCCGGGAATCTGAAGGGTTTGGGTGATTCCGGGGAATGAAAACGCCGGTACCAGCAGACGTCTGTTTAACGGCGGTTGGGGCGGCTAAAACGCCTCCAACGGGGTAAGGAGACGCGAACAGAACCGGCTGCCATAGCCAGTAGTAGTAGTCACAAAACGCTGCGTTTTGAGGAAAGGGGACGAAGGAGCTAGGGTTAGGGTTTGGGCGGCTAATGGGTTTCGCAACGAAATTAGCCATTTTGATCTTGGCGACTTCTCCAGCTGCAGCCGATAACACTTTCAAAGAGTCTTCTTCTTCTTCACGAAATGGAGATGTCGACGGTGAAGGCACTTGAGAAAACGGACCATTGGGACTCCTGTCTCCGGAGTTTGAGCAGCTCACGGGTCCACTCAGTGTTGAATTCGCAGGTTTCACCTTGAAGAAAAGAATTTTAAAAAGTGAGCTTTTTTAACTGTGAATGTTTTAAGTTTCCAACATTTGTAAAGGTTGAAGCTTTTTAGCTAACCTCAGGTTTGTCGTTGACCAAGGAAGGAGGAGAAGAGAGGCGTTGAGTGGAGAGGGCGAGTCGGCGAGTCAACCCGGCAAGGAAGTCATCTTCGTCGTCGCTTGTTTCACATTGCGTCTCCGTGGAGTCCTCTGAAGAGTTGAAAACAGAGGAAAAGGCTGAGGAGTCGAACTCGTAAGGGAACTCGTTCGGGATGCCGAGTTGACTCAGGGTTGATTCGGAGACCGCTGGACACGGCGGATGGATGTCAGAGGACGCGGCGGCGAAGGGCGGCGCGACCATAACGACAGTGAGTGAAAGAGGGCTCTATTGTCTATTGTGTATTAAATGTTGACGAGGGTTCTCTCTTTATTAAGGTTTTCATTTCAATAAGACAGCTAAAAAGCATTAGTAGTTTATTTGCTTATGTATCCTTTTATTTTATATTCATTATTTTATTAGTCCGTAATTCCTGGTCGACATTAGAAACCCCAAATGGTTGACCAATATATAAGGTCAAATGAGAAAACGAGAAAATCACATGTGTAGTGGTCACACACTCACACTATGTGGTTTTTCCACTACTTGTTGTCTGTGATGAACGAAACAATTGTATGAATAAGAGGAGGAAAATCTGGTTTATTGTTTGAATTTGTTTCATCAATTAAAAAAAAAAATCCCTTATCTATTTTTACTTAGTTGGTTTGATTTGATGCAATTTCGGTTTAGTAAATAAACCTTTTTTATTTGATTTCTTTTTTTTTGTCACAAGAAAATATATTCAAGTTTCGGATTTGATTTAAGTTTTGAGAAGACATAAAAATATATAAAAAGGAAAATTAAATCACCTAATTGTCTCTTACATTTCACGCAATTAAATTATAAATAAAAGACTAATTAAGCATATTAAACATTAAGCCATTTACAAAGGAGCTCCTATAAAGGTATATACTTAAAATAAACTCATGGAATATTGACCCAAAATCGAGATTTGGTATCGATCTCCCAACAAAAACATCCTCTTCTTAAGAAATGTAGTTGCTTAATCTTAAGTAAAAATTGTAGTGGATGATGTTGTTTAATTAATAATTTAGTTAATTACATACACCAAATTAGTGTGTGAGTGTGTGTGTTTTTTAGAAACGTTGCTTAATTAGGGGATTAGCCCATTTCATAGTTTATGAAAAGTCCATCTTATATAAGTGACTAAAAAAAGCCCAAACTGAATCCTAACTTGAACCAGGTAAATTAAGAAAATGAGAAATTATTAGGCTCAAACGGAAAATTATGCAAAGAAGATGGAACCCCGTTGATTTCGGGCGTTACAAATTACAATTCATCATATCAAAATTAGTAAAAAAGAAAACTAAACATCTGAGGGAAAAAAAAAAAAAACTAGACATCTAAAACATCCTATATTCGCTTATCTTGGTCCGTCCCAGCTCATCAAAAGAGGAACGTTCCTAACGAAAAAGTATACAGAGAGTCTAGACACCTAAAGATTTTGGTTTACATAGTTCAGTCCAATAGTTGTCTTAATTTTTTTTTTTAATGTCTTTATTCATCTTACCCTCACGAGCCTCACGAGGTACCATTTTGAAATTATAATTTGACTGTACATATGAAAGGCCGGAGGCGTTACAATAAGGAGATGAATAAGAGTTATCTTATGTTGGAAAACTTGTCCGAAGCAAATCAATGCACAACTTTTTCGTGCTTTTGGACAATTGTTTTCTTGTTTTTACTAAGAATTGGACCATTTGTTACAAAGAAGTAAAACTAAACACACCACAAATTTGAAGACGCGTGTAGTGTAAAGAACTAAAGATAATGCTTAACTTGTCCACAAGGTAAATATATAGTATGTCATATTAGTCTCGAAGTGTAGTAAGAGTTTACACAACAACAACTCCTGAAAATATCCCGAACAAAAAAACAAAAGTAAATAAGAAAAATAATGGAAGAGAGCAAAGGGAGCAGAATAATCATGTTCCCTTTACCGTTTCCAGGTCACTTCAACCCAATGATCCAGCTCGCCGGAATAATGCACCACCGTGGATTCTCCGTCACGATCCTCCACACCTCCTATAACTCCCCCGATCCTTCTCGACATCCACACTTAACTTTTCGAACCATACGTCACAACAACGAAGGAGAAGGAGGTGATGATCCTCTGTCTCAGTCAGAAACCTCGCGTTTGGACCTCGTCTCCCTCATTCGCCTGCTGAAACAAATGTATGCAGAGCCGTTTCGTGAGTCTCTTGCGGCGGAAGTAGGTGGAGGAGACACGGTGTGTTGTTTGGTCTCCGACGCGATCTGGGGAAAGAACACGGAGGATGCGGCGGAGGAGGTTGGAGTTCGTAGAGTCGTGTTGAGGACAGGTGGTGCAGCGTCGTTCTGTGCTTTTGCCGCTTTCCCTCTCCTTAGAGATAAGGGTTACTTCCGTAATAAACAAGGTATAATTATACATTTTATCTTTTAATTTCAATTTATTTATTTTTACCAAACAATATTAACCCCATAGTTCCAATCTAATCTTTTGATTGGTGACCACCAAAATACGAACAATGAAAAAAAAATTAATTACCTTTGTATCATGCTAACTTACTTGTAATCAAAACAAAAATAAGTTAACTGTAGATAATAATGTATTCACAGATATTTGATAAAGATTTTTTTTTCACTAAAATATTTCTTTATGCAGGTTCTAGATTAGATGATCTAGTGATAGAGCTTCCACCTTTGAAAGTGAAGGATCTTCCGGTAATTGAAACGAACGACCCTGAGGAACTATACCGAATAATTAACGACATGGTGGAAGGAGCCAAGTCTTCATCAGGAGTCATATGGAACACATTCGAAGATCTTGAAAGACTCTCTCTTATGGATTTGAACAGCGAGTTACAAGTTCCGATCTTCCCTATTGGACCGTTTCACAAACATAGCGTCGATCTACCACCAAAAACAAAGAACAAAGAAGTTTATGAAACAACCAATTGGCTCGACAAGCAAGACCCCAAGTCTGTGGTTTATGCGAGTTTTGGAAGCCTCGCGGCTATAGAAGAGAAGGAGTTTCTCGAGATTGCTTGGGGTCTAAGAAACAGTGAACAGCCGTTCTTGTGGGTGGTTAGGCCAGGGTTGGTCCGAGGGACCGAGTGGCTCGAGTCATTGCCTTGTGGGTTTGTGGAAAACATTGGAAGTAAGGGGAAAATTGTGAAATGGGCGGATCAATTAGAGGTATTGGCGCATCCTGGGGTTGGAGCGTTTTGGACGCATTGTGGATGGAACTCGACACTAGAGAGCATATGTGAAGGTGTTCCAATGATTTGTACACCGTGTTTCACAGACCAGCTTGTGAACGCAAGGTACATTGTTGATGTATGGCAAGTCGGAATGATGTTAGAGAGAAGTAAGATGGATAGGAAGGAGATTGAGAAGGTGATAAAAGGTGCAATGATAGAGGAAGGAGATGGGATGAAAGAGAGGTCCTTTGCCTTGAAAGAGAAGGCTAATCTTTGCTTAAGTAAAGATGGGTCTTCTTCCAAGAATTTAGACAAACTTGTGACTCATGTCCTGTCTTTTGATAATAATGCCTTTGCAAGTTAGAAAAATTACGAAGATGCAATGTTTAAAGCGCTCATCAAACTTTTTGGATGTTATTTCTCTTCAAATAATAATGTTAGTTGTTTAAGTTTTGTACGATTGACATTGTTCATCCTTGTGAAAATGAGTATTACCTTTAGGGATGCCAAAAACAATCAAACCAAAAGACAATTTGAATGTTAAACCAATTTTATCCGGTTTTACAGCTTCGTTCTAAACTGAATCTGGTTCTAAACCAAATAAAACTGAAATTGAGATTCTAAAGTTTGAATCCCACCTTATACACAAACAATTGTGTATAATTATACTATCTCATCTATATTATACTTTGGTTTTTGTATGATTATTCTCCAATTATTCTGTAGTTTACATCTTTTGATAATTATGCCTTTGCAAGTTAAAAAGAATTATGAAGAGGCAATGTTTACAGCGCTCATCAAACTTTTGAATGTTATGTTTTTTTTCCCTCCTGAAATAATAATGTTATAAGTTGTTTAAGTTTTGTATGATTATCCGTGTGAGTGAGTATTACCTCTAGGAATGGCTAAAACAATCAATACCAAAGATGATTTGAGTGTTAAATCGAATTTATTCGGTTTTACAGCTTCGTTCTAAACTGAATCTGGTTCTAACTGGTTCATAACCAAATAAAACTGAAATTGAGGTTTTTAAGTTTGAATCCCACTTTTTGACCCAAAAAAAAAGAGAATCCCACCTTATACACAAACGATTATGTATAGTTATACTATCTCATCTATTATACTTTTATTTTTGTATTATTAGTCTCCAACTATTCTGGAGTTTGAACTTTTTGTGGTGTTTTACCGGTGATATATAGATAAAATTAGAGCAAGGGGAATGTGCATAGACTCTAGATATCAAATGTGCAGCAGGGAAGAAGGAGAATCAGATATCTAGTTATATCTAGATAGTAAAAAGCTCTTTTTCTGTATCAGTTTTTTTTTAAGTTAAAGTTTTAAAAGTCACAGTCATTTCCTCTCACTTCAATATGTACAATTTATTTATTTTTCAATTTTGGTCGGGGTCCACTGTAGTCATGCACTTGAGTTACTTGCCCAAGTCGTTCTCGGCGGCGTACTAGACGTTTGAAACACACACCAACAATAAATCAAACATATCCTCAAAATCCTTCAATAACAAAAACAAAAGAGTTCACTTTTGGAATTATCCATCACAACAACGAAGGAGAAGAAGAGGACCCTCTTGCTCAACCAGAGGCTTCGGGTATGGACCTCGTCGCTTTCATTCGTCGAGCCGTTTCGTGAGTCTCTGGCGGCGGAAGTAGGCGGAGGAGAGAAGGTGTGTTGTTTGGTCTCCGACGTTTTTTGGGGGAGGAACACGGAGGATGCGGCGGAGGAAGTACTTGGGATTCGTTGGATGGTGTTGAGCACCAGTGGTGCGGCGTCGTTTTGTTCCACAGGCGGGTGTGTCCTTCTTGTGGTGCGGGGTCTTTTGTATTCAAGTTTTGTTCCACGAGCGGCTCGACGATTTCTTTGTCTTGAGTTGTTTGCTTCTTGACGTTGTTCATAATCACCTAACAACTCATTAAATACTCTCTCAAATTGTTCATCAAAAGCTTTATCAAATTTTTCATCAAAATATTTATCAAAAGCTTTATCAAATTCTTCATCGAGTGAAGAATTCGGTGAAGAATTGAATGGATTTTGAAGAGGAGATGACATTTAATATATGAAAGTTTGTATTTGAGTGTGAATGAGAAATTTGTTTGATGGAAGATTTTTTTGGAATGATTTAATATGTGGGATGAGAGTGAAATATTTGATGGAGAATACTACGTTATATAGCCGAGAAATTTGTTTTTATTTGGAATTATTTTGAAGTAAGTGGTAAGAATATATTCCTTTAGCATATACAGTATTCGTTTTTGAATGACCTTTGCAGTTTGATCTTTTGCTTGTAGTTGTGGAGATAATTTTGCAGAAGATTCCTTTACCTTTCCAACTCATGTCTACGTTAAAAACAAAAATATTAATGATCAGTCTTGTATTTAACCTTGTATAATATTCAACGAAAATTATCTTCCCCATTATCACACAAAGAAAACATTTTCATGTGAATACAATCTTTTACATACGTAAAATTCTTGAAAATTTAAAAATCTGATATTAAATTATTATCATCTTCTATATACACAGTATAGACTTTATGTCTTCACTTATATACCATACCATATATGATTTTCTTTCTTTGATCACTTGAATTATGGATTCAAACAATCCTTTTCATTTCTCAACAAATTTCATGGATCTTCTTAGTAATCTACAAGAAAGTAATACTACAAATTCTTTTTCTCCAATTTCAACCTCATTTCTAATGAGTTCATCAGAGATTCCACAATATAGTACCCAATATAATAATATGGGTGGAGAGAGTGATGATCCAAACCAAGTTCAAAACTCAACCGATCGAAGATAAACAAAACACAAATGGAGTCCAGCTGAAAATGTCGTTCTCATTAGTGCATGCCTAAATACAAGTAAGGATCTAATTGTTGGTCACGAACAAAAAGCATCTGCTTTTTGGAGAAAAATTAAAGCATATTTTTTAGAAAGTCCCGCAGTTGCAAACCTATCAAAGAGAAATTGGAGTAATTGCAAGCAAAGATGGCAAAAACGAAATGATAGCGTCTACAAGTTGGATCTTATGATCATGCTGTGTGCCAAAGAACTAGTGGCCAATCTGAAGATGATGTTTTCCAAGTTAAATACCAAATATACTACAACAATTATAAGAGTAACTTCACACTTGAGCATGGATGGAGGGAACTCTGACATGATCAAAAGTGGTGTAGTTCTTACACTTCTCAAAATTCTAAGGGTAATGGAAGCTCAAAAAGAACAAAACTGAGTCAAGATGGCATTTATTCTTCAAGCTCTAATCCAGATAGTCCTATCGATCTAGATGTGGAAGAGCAAGCTCGTCCTCTCGGAGTAAAGTCGTCAAAGCGTAAAGGGAAGAAGGTTACTACTAAAGCAAAAAATGAAGAAAGGGAGGCCTATTCTCGATCAAGGCTCGAGAGCTTGTGGGCATTAAAAGAGAAAGACATAGCAGAGAGATATAAACTATCAAAAATGGAAATATTTAGAAGTTTTCTTGCAAAAACAAAACTTTTAGAAAAAGAAGAAACTTTGAAAAACAAATTCATGGAAATATGCTTTAATCATAAGGTAAGATAGTTATATTGTTTGTTGTATTAGTTATCTTAGATTGTTTGTTGTGCCAGTTATCTTATTTTGTAATAAATGACATCGCCAATTTCATGTAATATCAAATTATCTTATTTTCAAATGAAATGTCTTTGACTAATAATGTCTTAGAGTTATCTTACTTATTTAAGTTTACTTATAAGAGTTTATAAAATATTTATAAGAATTTATAAGCTTATTTATAAGATTTTATAAGCTTACTTATAAGAGTTTATAATCATACTTATAAAAGTTTATAATCATACTTATAAAATTTTAAGATTTTTTATAAGAGTTTATAAGATTACTTATAATGGTTTATAAGAATATAACTAAATTGCCTTGTAATGTTAAGTTTATTTAACAAAAAAAAATTTAAGCTTATGTTAATTTTATTTGTGGTTTTTTATTTTTATATATGATATTAATTATGTATTTTGAATTTTATTTTTTGTTAAGTTATTCTATGTTTGTTTTCTATACTAAAATTACATTTTCACGTTTTTATTAATGAAGTTAATTAAATTTTTTCATTCATATAATATTATTGTTTTAATATAATTTTCTATTTAATTACAATTTATTTAAAACTATATTCAATATTATTTTAAATTAGAAATTTTTTCATTATAATATAATTTTATTATATTATTTATAATTTATTGCATTATTAATAGTATTTAATTATATTTATTAAAACATTACTAATTTATATTATATAACTTTAACTAATATCAATTAAAATTATTTTAAAAATTTATCTTATGCTTAATAGATATTGAAAATTATAAAAAAAAATATTTAAACTATTTACTTGTATTTTAAAGTGTTGGATATATAATTAATATAAGAAAGAACATGAACTATTTAGAGATTGAATGTGTCTAATAAGAGGAATTCTCAAGGGATTCTCAAAAGTTCTCATTTGAGAACCGATTCTCAATTTTTTTTCTGAAATTATTTTTTAAAATTATTTTTAAAGTTGAGATACTCTCCATAAAGACGCTCAATTTGGTGTTGTTAGTATTTAAATATTATTAATTTTTGGAAGTATGAACACTGGACAAACCGAACTCGTTTTGGCATCTATTGGTGATACTGTTCTTGGAGTTGTTAATTAGTAAAAACATCCAAAAAGTTTTCCCCAACATCCAATTCCCTTCTGCCACGTCTCGTAAGAGACTGGTTGTTAAATCTCTTATTTAGCATACAAGTTCATTGGAAAAAACATTTTTTCTTTTTTTAAAAAAAAATCCGTTAGACCCAGGTTTTCGAACTCAAAACAGGTTAACATACCCTGATGGACATGAACTTATCTCCCTATACAAGGTAATTAAAAAAGCTTACATTTTTTTTGGCCCAACAAAAAATGATTTCCTTTCACAATTTTCCTTGTTTTTGTTTTTTGGTTGGCTAGAGTCTAGAGATTTATTAGCCTTTTTGTTTTTGTCAACTATATATAAGTTTGATTTTTTTTTTATGTTTATTATTAACAATAAAAAAATTGCCTAATGTTACAAAAAAGAGTATATTCATTCTGATAGAGCAACCTATACTAAAGATGTAAAACCAAAAACTAATGAAAACAATCAATCAAAAGCTAAATATTTATACATTTCTTTTGCTAAAGATTCTAGATTAGATGAGCCAATGACAGAGCTTCCACCTTTGAAAGTGAAGGGTCTTCCAGTAATGGAAACGAATGAGCCGGAGGAACTATTCCGGGTCATGGTGAAAGGAGCCAAGTCTTCTTCAAGAGTCATGTAGAACACATTCGAAGATCTTGAAAGACTCGCTTATGGCTTTGAACAACGAGTTACAAGTTCTGATCTTCCCAATTGGACCGTTTCACAAACATAACGATACTCTATTCTATTAGATATCTAGTTATATCTAGATAGTAAAGCTCTTTTTCTGTATCAGATTATTCTTTTCTAATTATGTCTCCTCGTCTGAGGCTATTTATTTCTTTTTTTTTTCTGTTAAACCAGATATCTTGTAAAGGTTTCCTCTCAGTTTATTAATATACAATTTATTTATTCAATATTGGTCGGGGTCCACTGTAGTCATGCACTTCAGTTACTTGCCCAAGTCGTTCTCGGCGGCGTACTAGTAGAAGTTTGAAACACACACCAACAATAAATCAAATATATATCCTCAAAAATCTTCAATAACAAAAAACGTAAAAATGGAAGAGAGAAAAGAAAGGAGAATAATCATGTTCCCTTTACCGTTTCTAGGACACTTCAACCCTATGATCAAACTCGCCGGAATATTCCACCGCAGTGGCTTCTCCGTCACGATACTCCACACCTCCTTTAACCCTCCCGATCCTTCTCTCTATCCAGAGTTCACTTTTCGAACCATCCATCACAACAACGAAGGAGAAGAAGAGGACCCTCTTGCTCAACCAGAGGCTTCCGGTATGGACCTCGTCGCTTTCATTCGTCTGCTGAGACAAACTTACGCCGAGCCGTTTCGTGAGTCTCTGACGGCGCAAGTAGGCGGAGGAGAGAAGGTGTGTTGTTTGGTCTCCGACGTTGTTTGGGGTAAGAACACGGAGGATGCGGCCGAGGAGGTTGGGATTCGTAGGATGGTGTTGAGCACCAGTGGTGCGGCGTCGTTTTGTGCTTATGCCGCTTACCCTCTCCTTAGAGATAAGCATTACCTCCCTATACAAGGTAAATATAAAAGCTTACCTTTTATTTGGCCAAAAAAAAAAATGATTACCTTTCACAATTTTCCTTTGTTTTATTGGCTGGCTAGAGTCTAGAGATTGATTAGCCTTTTTGTTTTTGTCAACTATATAATGTAATGTATAAGTTTGAATTTTTATATGTTTTATTATTAACAATCAAAACAAAAAATTGCCTAATGTAATAAAAAGAGTATATTCATTCTGATAGAGTAACCTATACTAAAGATGTAAAACCAAAAACTAATGAAAACAATCAATCAAAAGCTAAATAGTGATACATTTCTTTTGCTAAAGATTCTAGATTAGATGAGCCGGTGACAGAGCTTACACCTTTGAAAGTGAAGGATCTTCCGGTGATGGAAACGAATGAGCCGGAGGAACTATTCCGAGTAGTCAACAACATGGTGAAAGGAGCCAAGTCTTCTTCAGGAATCATATGGAACACATTCGAAGATCTTGAAAGACCCTCGCTTATGGCTTTGAACAGCGAGTTACAAGTTCCGATATTCCTGATTGGACCGTTTCACAAACATACCGACAGCTTTCTGCCAACGACAAAGAGCAAAGAAGACCATGTAACAACCGATTGGCTCGACAAGCAAGACCCGAAGTCTGTGATCTATGTGAGTTTTGGAAGCCTTGCGGATATAGAGGAGAAGGAGTTTCTCGAGATTGCTTGGGGTCTAAGAAACAGCCAACGACCATTCTTGTGGGTGGTTAGGCCAGGGCTAGTAAGGGGGACGGAGTGGCTTGAGTCATTGTCTCGGGAGTTTATAGATAACATTAGTCGTAAAGGAAAAATTGTGAAATGGGTGAATCAGTTAGAAGTTTTGGCGCATCCTGCGGTGGGAGCGTTTTGGACGCATTGTGGATGGAACTCGACACTAGAGAGCATATGTGAAGGTGTTCCAATGATATGTACGCCTTGTTTCACGGACCAGCGTGTGAATGCAAGGTACATTGTTGATGTATGGCAAGCCGGGGTGATGTTAGAGAGAAGTAAGATGGATAGGAAGGAGATTGAGAAGGTAATAAGAAGTGTAATAATAGAGGAAGGAGATGGACTGACAGAGATGTGTTTGAAGTGGAAAGAGCGAGCTAAAGTTTGCTTAAGTAAAGATGGCTCTTCTTCCAGGTATTTAGAAAAACTCGTGACTCATGTCCTGTCTATCGATTCAAATGCTTGTGCAAGTTAGAAAAAATTACAAAGGAGCAATGTTGTAAAAGAAATCATCAAACAGACTTTTGAAATGTTCTTTTTTTTTTCTTAAATTAAAAATGTTGGTTGTTTGTGTATTATTATTAACTTTTTTTATCTCATCAATGAAATTAAATTTAGCAGTGTGTATTGAACTCTTTGCAAACAAAAAAAAATGAGTTGAGTACTTGTTAGCATCAAACTTTCCGAAAAAGATTAACATTCAGGAATATCTATTTGAGGCAAAAAAAAAAAAAAGAAGACTGAACTAAATTTTTAATAAATTGAATAGCTCTGCCGATTTTCAAATTTCAGACCTGACTGATGAGTCGCTTTAAAAGGAGGTAAGTCGGTAAATAAATATTTTGCGAGATGTGTTGTAAGAAGAAGATTGGAGTTTTCTACTCCATATTGGAAGCTTAAGATGACATTTGTCGATGTAAGAAATTTTGAACAAGTTAAAATCTTAAATAATTTTTATACATTAGATAATTAACCCAAAATTTTGGAGATTTAAGACTTATATGAAGGCGAATTCGGCGCCGGACAAAAACACGTGAGAGAAAGACAAAACCCACGAGCGAAAGAAGGCAAACCTTGTCATGGGCGATAATGGTCTATGGGAACACGTCAGTTCCTGCGCTCGTGTCAGCTCCATTAACCATCTGATTCACATTGGATGTACTCCCAGTTTCTACTGCAATAAAACAGTGATGTAGTTGTAATATAAAGGATTCGAAATCCAGAGAACCAGTGTTACTCTGGTCGAAAGATGGTTTGTTGCGAAAACTAAAAAGTAAACAGAATGGCAAACAACGATTTAAATTCAAATTAAAACTAGCACTAGACCAAAGCAATTCGCAGGAATTTCAGAGATAAGAACCAGATGACTATTCAGGGCACAAGTGTAACGCAAGTCTCGAACTCAAACAGAAAAGCTTATCGATCCACTGTCGTGATCTCGATAACTTTGTCTAACAACCTAAATCCTAAACTGTCGTTTGAACTTAGAAAATTGCAGACAAGCATTAGCTAGCAGATTTGATCTGTTCACGATTTACCTTAACTTCAACTGTCGTTGGCTAAGGACAAATCGCTCACCAATGTTTATTCTAGCAACCTATTACACTTTTGATGAATAGATTAACCTAAAATCGCAGATTGAGTGATCAATTCAACCTAAGCATTAAGTCTAACAATGGTGAAGACAATAGATATCAAGCCCTATTTGCATCTAATCTTTTAACTCATGAAATCCTTTGAACGCTTTAATCTAGCTAAGAGATCTACTCAGACATGGAGAAAAGAAACACAGCAACAGATGAAAAGGAATTCATGGATTAAAAAATCGCAGAAGAGATAATAGGGTTCAGAATTCTTCTCAAATGTAGCAGATTTCTTCTCCCAAAAGCTTACAAGTAAAAACTCTCTGGTTCAGGAAATTGTAAAAAGAAAAGCGTAGAAGAAAAGATAGGCGGCTTGGACTCTTTTTATTCCTTTCACGCGGCTTGAGATTAGGTAAAGATGTTTTCCTTATTTTTCTCCCGTCTGGAGCAGGTGCTCCACGAAGGGTCCAAACCGGGAGCAGGTGCTCCGCGGATGATTTCTCCAAAAGCGTGTGAAATAGCTCCTTATTGCTCAAATTCATCTCCTTTTGCTCCAATGCCTCCTAAACACTCCAATCCTCTGATAAGGTCTCTAAGTCACCTGAAACTTCCTAAAAAGACTCCAAAAACTCCTAAAACAATTAGTAAACACAGGTTAGAATGAGTCAAAATCTCCACTCATCAACTCCCCCGAACTTGAATCCTTGTTTGTCCTCAAACAAACTCAAATTCAATTCCAAAAGAATGACTGAATAAAGCTGGGAACTCGCAAAACTCAAAAGACCGTAAACCTGACCAAGGCATGTGACAATCTGCTGCAAAATCAATCAAAAATCTAACCTCCATGTACTTCTCCGTAGACGCTGCAGCTTTCCAGATTAGTCCCTCAATTTCATAACATCATCCATGTCCCATCATTGCTGAATCTCATCAATAAAACTAGTGCTAAGGACCTTCTAGACTCGTTCCCATACTTGTACCTTAACAAATTGACCATACTACACAAAAATACCTTTCCTCTCCCCCCGAACTTATTCACTTTTCAAGCTGTTTCGTTTTTTTTTTTTTTTTTTTTTTTCGGCACATATAACAAGGTTCAAAGACGCGAGTATTGATGGTGATTGCCACCGAATCCCCGGTTTGTCCCGTCATTATATATCAAAGGTGTAGGCGAATAATGGGGTCACAGGAAATTTTCCTACCCCTCGCTTCCATCCATTGTGTGATCATTCCACTTTAGAAGTAAAATAATGGGATCTTTGGAAATTTTCCTAACCCTTTACTTCTAAAAGAAAATCATTTCAATCTTTTCTGCCTTTTGTTCATTTTTTTTTAGAAACAGCCTGAAACAATGCTTAGAACATGAGAGAAGAATACCAAATCTATCACACAGGTCTTTATTTGTCAGGTAAGAATGAGGAGTCAAGCCCTATGAGCACTAACCTGATCGATGAGGAAAATGAAGAGCTGAAAAATTAGCTCAGGTTCATTGGATGTGTCAAGAATTTTGGGCTCCTCTAGTCTACTGCTTTGTCTTTGGATTTTCCATTAGTCGATCTAGATGATTCTGCAGCAATAATCACTAGAAGAAGATGGTCAAGATTCACAAATGGTCTGAAATCATCATAGAATTGGTCCTAATTCCCACAAGCTTTGACTTGACTCATATAACAAACTGACTCAAAGAAACAAAATAAAACTGACTCAAGAAAAACACAAGAAAATGCAAAAGATGACAAGATCCTCCCCCGAACTTATTATACACCGTCCCTGGTGTACAAATAGGAGCAGAGAAAAATCCTGTCGAAACAAATAAAAGAAAAGAAATCAAGGCGGATAATACAATGGTGGTAGAGAGATGTTACTAGCGGTCAGTGAGTGGTGGTGTCCTCTGGGCTCTCACTACCAGATCCACCAGTGCGACGTCTGCGTCTCGGGTGCCTCTCCGGAGATCTGGCTGCGGTCGCAGTGCTGCTACGACATCCACTGGTAAGCATCTGCAACAACCTCTTCATGAGGCTGTTGTTCTTCTTTGTAGACGCGACCATCCACCTCCGATACTCTGCATCATCAGGATCATCAGAGATAGGAGCCAACTCGAACTCACCAGCATCAGCTGAAACGTAGTCAGGCAGCTCCTCATCTCCCTGCGGTGAATGTGGATAGCGTGAAGAACTGGCGCGAGCAGGTGCTCCGGAACTCGAAGCAGGTGCTCCAGAATTCGGAGCAGGTGCTCCAGAATTTGGAGCGGGTGCTTCGTCGTGTGCTGCATCAGCTAAAAGTGGCACCTCCATCAGGAAACGCAGGTTAGCTGCAGTGTTTAGCGCAGTCATGGCAGGATTTGGGAGAGGCGTGCGCTGTGCAACTCCGTAAGCACCTTTGTAGCTGTAGGTGTTCTCATCGCATAGAAAACCTGAAGTCAGCAGATGGGCTGTGTCCATCTTCCTCCGGCTCACATCTTTTGTAGCATACCGAAGAGGAATATGAGCAAAAGTGAAGAGCGCTGTGAGGAGACTCCCAATGTAAACGACCTGCGAACTCCCAAAAGGTTTGGTCCTCACTGCGCATATGGTTTGCGCCAGCTGAACTCCAAAGTTGATACTGTGCTCGACCGGGATGCTGACGCTGTAAGAGTCTGCAACCAAATCACCACAACCAAAGTAAAGCAACATCAAAACATCCAGCGCTACCTTATTCCCAGAATCACGGTTGAACAGCATGTTGTTGAAGATTTTCGCACAGATGCGAACAGCTGGGTGGCGAATGACTGATATGCTTGCCGTGTTCGACTTGTAGTGGCCGGAGGCGATGGTTTGCCAAAATTGGTTGGAAACCTCGAACTTACTCGGGAAACGCAGCTCTTTATCCTCGTCATGAAACCCGTAAGCAGTGCAAAACGTCGCCATGTCGATGCTGTAGCGCTTCCCTTCAGCAAAGTCGCTTCATCAGCCTTTGGCTTCGTCGGATTTGTGTACCGCAACTTTGCAGATGCGAGGCATTGGCGGACCAGATCAGGGTAGAGATCGTCGTCCTCGAAAGCGAGTTGCGTCAGCTTCGTGTTGCGCAGGATGATGCTCACCTCATCGAAGATTCCCAACCGTTTTAGTGTGTCTGTGCACATCACTAAGGTTGGTTGCAGTTTGATGTTGAGCAGCTTGTTGTAATAGAACGAGTCCGTTTGGTCCCACTGCTCGTCCGTGTGTTCGGGTATCAACTCATCAGGCAATTCGATCAGTGTGTTTCCTTCGCGAGGCCATGGATACGTCGATGGGGTAGGTTTACTTCCCTCACCGTTCTTCTTCTTTCCATTCTTCTTGAACATTGTTCTGGGAGGCATTCCTGCAACAACATTGAAGAAGAAAACAATTAAGCCCAAAGAAAATCTCCAACCTAATTTTTCGAGCAGAGTTTTGCATGTGTGTATGTAGAGCGGATAATCACATAGATGTAAACTGATGCTGCTCTAGAACCTCAATAACATGCGCATAGGTCGAAATCAACACACAGATAGAAGTAAGCACCCTTTTAAAAATTTCGCCGAAATATTAAAAGGGAATTGCGAGTCATACCTTTGCTGGGTGTCGAAATTGGTTGCAGAAACGGAGAGAGGACGAAAAACCGATGAACTTAGACTAAAAAAAAAAACGTTGAAATCGGTGAAGTTTTGAAAAATCTGGGATTTGAGCTCAAGTATCAAGTATGGCGAAGAAGAAAGGAGGAAGGAGGAGGTGTTTATGGGTCGGGGTTTTTAAAAAAAAAGGGAAACTCAGGTAGGGTAAAATTCTGTGTAAAATAAATCTTTTGCTAAAATTTGCACACTAGCCCCTGCGTTCCCATTAAAACTCCAATTTTCCCCAAAAACTTACCTGGAAGCGCCAAACACCCTGGCAGAGCAGGTGCTCCAAACTAGAGCAGGGTGCTCGTTCGTCGCATTGTCCGTGGTGAGCACCCCTTGGAGCAGGTGCTCCGGTGGGGGCTATGGTGCTCTTTCGTCAAATTCTACGTGGTGAGCAG